ACTTGAGTGAATAGTATAAAAAAATTAATCGGCTATGGGTAAGTTCTTTAATTTATTACGATGATTTATTGAGTTGTTTAATCGGATATGGATTTGTTCTTAATTCTTATGTTTTTTTGGTCCTTTATATACTATTTTAAGTACACATCAGTCTTAGAAAGAAAACATAAAAAAAATCTTTTAAATGATTTCAAACCTTATCTAACTTCATGGCTTATAAGGTGGTTTATAAGATTTCATTATAATAAATGTAACATATATTTATTTATACTAAATATTTTCCCAGATCACTTCTTGGAAATCCAAAACGTAGTAAATCCAAATATTTTATACTCAAATTAAGTGTTCTTCGCTTTAAATTAGAAAATATAAAAATGTTTCATAATGTTGCATTTGACTATTTTCGGAATTTATATAATAATATCTGAAAATTTTATTCAACATTAAAAAGCATATTTTACGTAAATCAAATTAATATAAAACAAATATAAACTATTTGTTTGGATATAATATTTTTCACATTAATTTAAATATTTAAAGATTAAATCATGTAATTTTAAATACAACATTTTGAATTTCAATAGCTAGGTAATTATTTATACTATTCATGGTCAGTCAATACAAGAATTAAATAAGTATGTAAATACCTTAGGGAGTTAACATTTTACTTGTTAAAATAAAAAATTATTATTTATACAGTAATATAAAACAGTAATATGCAAACTTGGACCAATTTTTGGTAATAACATTTATAAAAAACATATAGATCTTCTTTAATGCCTTATATCGCCAATAACATTGACAGCGACTTGGGGGTCGGGTATGAAGAAGAAGAAGAAGAGGAAAAAGAAAAAGAAGAAGAAGAGGAAGGGGGACAGAATGACTGCAAGTTACAGCTACAACAACAGACACAGTGGCAAAAATATGTCCATGTTCCGTATTCCTCACTCCCTCCCTCTTTCACCCTCGCCGATCGCCTGTCCAGCAGCTATCTCTATCTGACTTCATGCAATGCAATTCTAAAAACTGAATTATTCATGGCGATTGTACGACAATCAATTGAAATTGAAATAAAATGCTGCCTGCCAGTTGTTGCTGATGTTGTTGTTGCTATTGCCAATGTTGTTGCGTCTACGCGCGTTGTTGCTGGAGAGTTTGCTACCGCCTTTGACATGTGCGCAGATCGATTTTGTAGATTTTGTTGGCTCTGTTTGGTCTGCGTTTGCTCAATTGAAATTGTGATTTAAAGTATCTGTATCTGGATCGATTTGGCATCGATCGTATGTCGCCAAATGTCTTCAATTCTGTGGCATGACGGCTTCAAGTCTGCTGACTCGGCGAGATTTGTCGCCTATTTTGTTTGTGCCTTGCTGTGACTTCTTCATATTTTCGTTTTTTTTTTTTGGCCATGGACAATTTGTATTTGGCCATGTTAGTGCTCAAAACAGACCTGTTTAAGTGTTTGGCAATCTCGGTTTGGCTTGATTGAAATTTTCTCTAAAACGTAAAAAAGCGACATGGTAGCGAAGAAGGTGCAAACTGTAGACTTTGATCCGTAGCATAGTCACAATGTTCCAGGATATGGTTATACTCTTCCTGGAACTCTATAATTTTAGTGGCAGTAACATTGGCCCTTCCCTCAGAAGTTAAGCTGTTTTTTGCAATTTACAACATAAAAATTCCCAATCTTATCTTTTAATGGAAAGTTTTAGTAGTCCGGACTGCTAATAAAGTACAAATATTTAAAACAAATAAGGTTTATTTAAATATATTTCCAAACACTTTAAAAGAAATTAATAAAAGTCAACTAGAATTCGCCAGAAAACTTTTCCTATCTAATTTCATGATTTAGAAGAAATTAATATAAAGCACTTTTTCTTAATTCATATAACTTTTCCTTAGCATCATGTTACGTTAACTTTTAAAAATATTTTCATTTTAATTAGATTAAGAATCTTTAAAAGCAATATTATAAACAAATTTATTAGGTTGATTTTGTTATTAAAAAAGTTTTCTGGTTCAGTGCCTTAGTAAACTAAAAGATAGTTGCAAAAATATAGTCTTTTTATTAAAATGTGTTTTAAATTTTTTATGAAATTAAAATCATATTCTGTTCTGCCTTGCCAAAGTAAATGTTTTGTTTACTTATATATTTTTTAACACGTTGTTAAAGTTGTAAAAAAACAACTTAAGTAGACAACTTTAAAATGTAGACATTTTTTTGTAACATGTGCAAAACATTTACGTCAATCGATAGGGAATTTAAATATTTTCCAAATGAACACAGAAACAATATCTTAATTGTATAGTGTTTACGAGTGATTAAATTACATATTAATACAGGTTCCTTAAAAATCCGTTTTAAATGTACTATAGCCAGCCTTTTTACTTTTAAATGAGATTAAAGTTCCTTGCTCTCTACAACGCTTCAAGTGGCCACAATTTGAGGCAGATTGCGCTCTAATAAATATGAGCAGCCATCAAAGCTAATGCCCCAACTCATCACCGGGAGATGAGCACGCGAACAGGCGCGATATGCGCCCGTTGCCAAGGCCCAAACTTAATTAAAAATTTGGACTGAGCAGAGGGAAGATGAGAGATTTGCCCACGAACAGAAGAAATGTTAATATGACGACAAAAATTGCAGCGCAGCAGCTCCAGGAGCCGCATCACCACCAGTCGCCAGATTATGACGACAACTATGCTGACAGGCAGAGCCGGAGTAAACTACTGCAAGAAACTGGCCAGATTCAGCTGCAGAGGTAGTCCGACTTGGAGTCTCCGTTCCAGTTCATGGCTAAATGCTTTTGGCTGTGATAAATTACACGTCGTTTTAGAGTGTTGCGCTTCCTTGTTACTCCGTCAAGTGGTGTTGACACGGCCGCAGCGAATGCAGAGTATTAAACGATCTCCACCGTGCTAGACTTTTCTCCGTCCAGTGGTGTTATTAAAATGAAATCATCATCATCACCAAGTGACAGAAGCTGAGAGCTTGAGTTGGAGATAGAGATAGAGACAAAGACTAGCCAAATGCCCGAGGATCACTTGAGTGGGCACCTGAGTGCACGGAGGCAGTCATCTGATCATGCTTATGACAAGAGAATTCAATTAGACATATGGAAACGCGTTGATTGTTCCACTGGCAATTGCAGCTGGTGGAAATTCAATTTAAACAAGGAAATAAGTTAGCTTATGGTTCTGGCTTTGTAAAGAAATGTACGGTTTACGGTGTTAAATTGGTTAAACAATTTTAAAAGTCATAATTAATATTGTTCAGTTCTTAAGGAAAACTTGACTAAAAATAATTTGTATTATATATGAACATAAGTAGTAGAAATTTTTGTGACATGATCTTGAACATTTAATGCTTTCTTTTTATTAGATTTTTTTTTAAAATAAGTCTCTTTAATCTTTATCTCTAACTTTCAGAAAAAGATTCACATTTAAAATCATTCAATAACATACGAGTTATACAAAAGACTCAGGCAACAAACTTGTTTTCACCATTTTGCTAGGCAAGCTACAAATTCCCCCGATGTTTTGTTAGTTTCTCCCAATGTTTATTTACACTGATCGCCGGGCATTAAGTGCCCACCTCTTTGCCACATTAGTCGTCCAATACGAGTTCAAATTGATGCACATGCACAATGAAAACAAAGCAGAGCCAGCACTCTCGCAGCCAATACACTCAAATGATAACAGTACCGTGTGTAAAGTCAAATGGGGGTAAAAAAAAAAACAACAACCAACAGCCAACCGCATTGAGACAATATTCAATGAAAACGAACGAAACGTTTTAAGATCGTGCCGGTGCCAACAGCCAACCACAGTTCAGCACCAGCACCAAGAAGAAGCCCAGCGGTAACATTTCAGAGAGCGGAGAGGTTCGAGCCTCAAGCTGAACTGGAAACCGGCAGCGAACATGTTCGATGGAAAGTCGGTAACAGTGTGCACTTAAAGAAAAATAGGGACTCCTTCGGGACAACATTTCATGCCGAAATCAATATCCTCTCAAACATCTTTTATGAATGTAAGCATGCCTTTGTCGAAAACGGAATTTGACTTAATTTAATTCACTTCTTAGCGTTTAGTACCAATTTAATTATACACCTTTATATTACCATTAAAACTGTTTTTAGTTAATTTACTTCAATTGGAAAATATATGGTATTTAAATCACAGTTTGTTTTATCGTTCCAAAAGTTTGCATTGATTTGAAAATACAATAGTAATGAATAAGTAGCAGCTCGTATCATTAGGATCATTTCCTTATTGGAAGCTTAAACTTATTTTTATGATTTCTTATTTTAACTAGAATTTTGCTTGAGATTATATTTTTCAATATTTTGCAATTCTTTTAGTTCTAAACATTTTTTTTAATACAAGTTTTTGATGATTTTTTAACATATCTACGCTTATTGTAATTCCCAAAGTCTAATAGACAGACAAAATCTTTAAATTACTTTTTAAGCTAAAAGAAAACTTCCTAGCACACTTGTTTAGATAATTTTTGTTTTTAAGTCATATTGATTAAGGAATAGTAAAAAACAAGTTAAGTTGAAAATTTTGTTGGCCTACTATACAGTTAAGTTAACAGCTCATACCAACATAACAGGGCCGCAATGCCGGCAGCATTGAGGTGCACGCAGCAGTTGCCGCAGCAGCTGTTCGCCAAACAGGATTTCCTGCGGCAGCGGCGGCCGATTAACAGTTAAGTTCGCCTTGCCCTGCCACTGTTACAAACGCACACAAACACAATCTTAAGACGCGTGCGCTTTGTTGTCGTTTGGTTGCTGCTGTTGATGTTGCTGCTGCTGTTGGTGTTGCTGCTGTTGGTGCTGCTGCTGTTGGTGTTGCTGCTGTTGCTGCTGCTGTTGGTGCTGCTGCTGCAGATGTTGCTGCTGGGATGAGATGATCTTTGAGGCCAGGGCCAAACCTGGCAGTCCGAGTCTGTTTGGCGCTCAGAACGACGGCGACGATTTAGTCTCGGATGGACGCTACGCTGCCAAGCACCGTCAGTCAGGCTTACGCTGCTCTCCCGCTCTCGCATCGCAATCGCAATCGCATTATATCCGACTGATCGCGAAGTTCTTCGGCATTATGTGCGCCACGTGATTGCTACAATATATTGAAAGCCGTCGCCATATTATCGCCGATCTTTCGGAATTAAGGAGTGGCATGTGAAGAATACATCTGATGTGATCAGTTGATAGTCATGCAGTGAAGCCAGTGTGTGAAGTTCAAAGAAAATACTAAAGATACTTAAAAGTAACATCAAAATAAAAAACAAATACAAGATAGTGCATTTTTTTTAGTTTACTATTTATGAAGTTTTGGAATTTTACATTCTGGAAAAGGTAAGATTATTGCCATTAATATTGATTCAATATATTTGAAATTAGTTTAGTTAAGTTTGAGCTCCAAAAAGTCACATTTGTGCAATGAAATTGTCATACTTAATTTAAAAACTTCCACACTGATTAATCAAAGCTTAAAAAAGGAAATAAATAAATACTAAAGAGGAAACATTTACATAAATAAAACATTTAATTCAATTACAAGCATTTTGCATAATTTGCATAAATTCAATACAACAAAGGCGTTGAGACGACAACAGATGTTGTCAGATTAAATTGTTAAACTAAAAATAGTTATAATGTTTGTAAGTAGATAAATGTATTGAATACAAAACAAGTTATGGACATAAAAGAAACAAAGCTGATTGTAAATACAAAATAAGTTAAATTTATACTGAACAAAGTCAAAACTTTGATATGAAAATTTATTAAATGATTGCTAAAAAAACATTGAAAAATTAAAAAAATAAACAAACACAAATATCAAGTGTTCAAAAGAATTATATGTATGCAAAGAAAATTAGAGAATTTACTTTGTGATCAAGACTCAACCCTAACTCCCAAGAGTTCATACCTACTTAACAATAAGGATGGCCAAGGATAACCAGATAAAGTGTAATAGTGAAGATAAAAGAAGCTCATTGACATGCTCATTAATAATGTTATTGCCTTTTGTGCGATAAGTGTCAAGAAATTACTACAAAGGGGCAAAGAATGGACCAAGTTGAATGATATTCAAACATTTAATTGTCCAACTGCTGTCGGCAATCAAGCAGAAAAGGGCCAGAGGCTGCGATTCGACTGGATCGTGGATCCTCGATCGCGGAGGATGGAGATGGAGGACCGAGGACCGAGGATCGCGGAAGCAGACAATTCAAACTAGAGCGTGTGACTGCTGAGTGGATTTGCATATTGCGAATGTCCGTCTCCAGTGGCTGGCAGGGCTAATAATAAAGCATATTACCGGCAATTGTCTGCCGAGTTCGGAGGAGATTCGGGTCGAAGAAGGGTTTGGATTGCAGATTGTGTCAATGCTCCGGGGTTCACCGGGCTGTGTGCTTGATTCTTGTTCTATTTGGTAGCCGCTTCAAAATATTTGAGACAATCGTGGTTTGCTTGTTTGAACACCTTTTCTCCCTCTGTTGCCTTTATCTGATTTGGCATTGTCCATCATTTTGTTTGCTTTAAAGGACACAATTTTTGTTTTTGGACCCTTGTTTATTATTCTTATTGAGAAAAATCCTACTATTTTTTCCAATTTTTTTAGGTCTGTCAACAGCAACTTGATGAGCTTGTTGAGAATGTAGCTTCGGCCAACTGATCTGGTTCTTATTGTCTAAGCCGCTCTGAACTTGTCCCCCCATCGAGTTCATCTCCAGTTAAACTCGGACTGGCATACAACATTTTGTAGATTTTCAGAGATTAGATCTAAACAATCATGCACTTGGCTTACGATCAAAAAGTATTTTCTGTAGCAGTTTAGGTTTCTAATTAATTGTCTGTTTCAGCTCAATGTGTAACATTAATCTCGACTTAATCGATAAGCCTGTCAGCCAAGATTGTTCCTATGCTGTGATCTGTTCGGTTCGATATACACTCAGAAATGAACAATGGGGATTCTGGTTTTAAATTTGAAAGGAAACGGCACAGGAGAGTCAAATTTTTTGAATTTGCACTACTCTCTGCTATTCATTGTCTTTCCACAATCGAACCAAATAAGCGGCAAGATAACATTCACCTTGTTTAGGGGCTCGGCTCGAGGACTTTTAATTAGCTCGTGGCATGGGAATTATGTCCTCCTTCATGACTTCTGTTCAATAAAATGAAGGGGTAACTGAAGATGCGTTCGGCTACTTTGAATAGTGGCCTTGGTCGCTGTCGTGATAATGCTTAAAGGATTGAGATGCCGCCTCCGGATACAAATCTGCAACTTTATTGCACAAGCGTGCCGTCGAATTGCATTTTCTTTTGGGTTCTCAATAAGGATCGAAATGATTTGGGACTTTTTGTTTATCGCAGGAGATCTAGCGAGATATGCTAAACTCTAAAATCAGATGGCAGATCAGGAAATTTAATAAACATAAATAAATAGTAAATAGTAAAAATAATTTTCTTAAACGTGAGTCGAAAAAGAATACATTCAAAAATAAATAGAATAAACTTTAACGAAATACTTTGCAGAAAAACCATTTATTGATAGTTTTTGGTTGAGATAAGTTTTATAGAAAACATTAAAGTCACAAGTATTTAAATTTAATCACTTGTTGTTAAAGAAAGATTTTTTATTGAGAGCCATTAAAAGTAAAATCCAGTTTGAAAATTTTTCTTAGTCCAAAAAAATATATTTAAAAAGAAATAGGATAACGTTAAAGTTATCTGTATTCTCTTCGTTTTAATACTTCGAAAAAGTTTTTGGTTGTGATAAGTTTTATAGAACACTTTGAAGTCAAAAATATTTAAATTCAATCACCTGTTTTCAAAAATAAGCTTTTATTGAGAGCCATCATCAAATGTAAATAACAATTTTAAAATTTTGTTTACAACTGCCGAAATATCACAAAGTTTATTGATCTAAAAACTGAGATCGACTGGCGATGCTGAAGAGAATATACTTGCCTTGTAGGACTTGCAAACATTTAATTGAATGTTTACAATATAGCCAAGTTTTTATGAAAATAATTTTTGGATAACTGCCCCTATCTCAAGGCGAACTTATCTTTAAGACCATTTGATTTATTGGCCCCTTTGGTCTACTGTTACTATGCTATTATCATCTTGAACTTCCAAAGCACTGTTTCACGCGTTGTTTATTCTAAAAACTCCTCCATTCAGCTGTATTTATTGGTGGCTGCCTACAGTCCAGATTATCAGTGCAGTGCCATCATGAGCTTCGGTTCTGGGTCTTTGAAACTCAGAGACTTTTGTCAGCGATGGAAGGTCTCCTCGGGCTGCAGGTCTGCTTGATGATTTTCCTGCTTTCTGGAAAAGCGCACCGCTGTGCCGAAAATTGTCACGGATTCGCGGTCGCTGGCTCGCTCGCTGTGAAGGTGCAAATTTAATGTTTGCCAATTTAGCAACGCTCTGCTGTCACCTTTGGTGTCCATTAGCGAGCGTTTATATGCAAAGTGCCGGGCATTGGCAGGCCAGCGTCGGATGTGGCAGCCGGCGGGGATCGGATGGGGCTAACCATTATCACAGAAGCAGCATCACGTTGTGGCTCCACCACCTGCTGGGCGCATTTCGCGGAGCAGCTCCCTGCCACTGGCCGCCCTGGCCGGACAATTTCCAGATACGGACACCTCAGTGGAGCACTTAACCTGGCTTTCATGGGAGGGAGTCAAGGCGCTCTCGCAGCTCCGGTTCTGAAGAGTGAGATCAAGACACATTTAAAAAAATAATATGCTACGCTGGCAATACAGCAATTCATTACAGCTTTTGAATAGCACATTTCATGCCAAAAAAATACTTGATTTTGGACGTTTTGTTGTGGAATCCAAAAATTTACTTACCGAAAAAAGGCCTTCGAAAAATCTACGAAGAGCGATGAAAATATATTTATAATGACTTATGTCTTGCCATTCAAATAATCACTTATGTAGTGCCAGGCAGTTACTTATTTTTGTGTTTTAAATTGTGTTTATAATAACAGAGGATAAAATATTAAAAATACCCCTTTCGTCCATTTTTTTCACGCTCATTAAAGAATTATAAAAAAAGAGCTTAAAAATAACAAAAGAATTAATTAACAATAAAAAACTAAAGATACTTTTGAGAACAGCAACCCCCTTTTCTTTTTTTAATTAAATAAAATTTATAACTAAATTCTTGGAGTACTTTAAGGAGTACGTTTATCTTCAGAAATAAGGAAAGAAAGAACATTTCCGACCATATAAAATATATATTCCTGATCAGCATCCGTCTGTCCGATTGTTCGTCTGCCCTATCTCGATGAAACATTACCAAAAGTCTTATTGCAGGCAGAACATGATTCGGATGTAGACAGATCGGACAACTTATCACTAGCTTCCATAGGAACAATCGGAAAAATAAATGAGAGAAATATAAATTCGCTTATTCTCAATTTATTCACGAAGTATATCGTGATAGTTATGGATTAATATTTCAGAAAAACGGTTAAAATAATGGTTTGATTCGTAAGTTTTAGTGTGCCGATAGATATTGTCCAAATAAACATATAACTCACAATAACTGGCCTATCCCACGTCTCAGAAATTACAATTTTTTAAATAAGCTTGCGTTGAATCCCAAATCTGCACAGGATTAAAATATAAGTATTAAATTCATATTAAATAATATATCTATACCGAAGAGTATTTAACTATATTCCATGGCTTAATGTTTAAGCCACATACATTTTTATTGATACTTCGGTGGTACTAATTTAATACGCATATTATTGAAAAATTGTTCATACACAATAGTTTAAAATTAATGTGTAACAATAGTTTAATTTCAATGACATTTTTTTTTGGGTGCAATTGTTCATAAGGACAGACAGGCGAACATGGATAAATCGCCTCTGGTAGTGATTTTGATCAAGAATATAATGACTTTGTGGAGTCGAAAAAGTACATTTCTTTCTTATTTTTACTTGTAAGAGACATTTATTTATTATTATTCTAGGAATGATGGAGAATCTTCTAAAAAGTGTGTAATGTGTAAATTGTAAGCAACTCTTAATGCTGAAAATATAAAATTAAACGTGCTAAAATTAAAATATATAACAACTAGTAATAATAAAGTCGAAAACTATCGACCAAAAGTTCAACAATGAAAAACACTTACCATATATTTAAACTTATTTAAGCAAATATTAAACGAGTTGAGGATAATATTTAAGCGTTTTATAATATATCAAATTTTCTATAACTGTATGACCAAGTTATAGAAAATATGATACAAAACGTTAATATATGCATTTTTATTTACTTAAAGCAAATATATACAAAGTATGTTCTAATTCCAAGGTTAAATGCTTTTGATCCTACAAAATGAACAAGAATTTTTTCCTAAACGCCCGTGCTTTAACAAATGTGACAACGAAGACCCCAATGTCATACATTATGGGCACACAAATGTATCTGAGGATTTATTTTGTATATCCATAACAAAATAGAGCCCTCCCTCAGATTCTTCATGCTCATTAAATAGTTGACGCAAGATTTTCGTAAATATTTTATTTGTTCGCCGCTGTATAATTATTCGCTTGACCTTAGGCTTTTTGGGCTGGAAAAACAAGTCACTATCAGTATAGTAAATGGCATTAGATGTGTGAACGCAAAGTGTGGCTTTAGCCGGGGAAAGGGAGAGAGAGGGATTCTCGACGTGAAAGAGAGGGGAGGGAGGATAAGCTGCAGGGTCTTCTGACATTGCCGCGACCGAAACTTTGATGGTGCAAGCCCAAACCGGTCGCTGCATACCTCAATTTCTATCCACGACCTGTAGCGAAATAAAAAAACAAAATTCCAAAAAAAAAAGAATAAAAATAAAGAGAAACGCAGTGGGTCATCGGTTATGCATGTTGTTGTTTTTGCCGCTGCAGTTCTTCTTCTTCTGCTTTTTGGCGTGGCTTTCGTGGTTGTTGTTGTTGTTGTTATTGTTGTTGTTGTGGCCATGGCCTCGTCTTGATCACAGCTGAGCCAAGAGGCAATGTGTTGGCTGGCCAGCAAAAACACAGCGAAGAGGAAAAATAATCTGTGAAAAAAAGGCATCATCAATAACAAGGACAATCGTGAAGAGGTCGCCAGAGTTGGATTTTTTCAATTAGGCTTTCAGCAACATGTTGTAGGCGCATAGCTATGGAAAAGGAGTTCTGAAAGAGGACCCACTAAAAGAAATATTGCTATAATGATAAAAGTGAAATTCAATTAAATATATTTCTGAAAGCGCTCAGAAATATCAATTACAAGAGGATACAAGCCTGCAGAAAATATTCCTCCCAATTTTTTAAAGCAAATAATTATCAAGGATATGTATTAAATTATCTTATATGTGTATTTGCATAACCTTACAATTCCAAAGTTCATTCATCAGTGAAAAATCCATAATAAATATTATAAGCTTTCATCAGACCTTATATATGTAACTCCAAAAAATTGTAAACAATTTCAATAATTTTAATGGAATAATAAAATACTTCTCCATTCTCCATTGCAGATGAACCAGCTGTGCAAAGTGTGCGGCGAGCCGGCGGCTGGTTTTCATTTCGGGGCATTTACATGTGAGGGCTGCAAGGTGAGTTCTTCTATTATGCCCATAGAGCAACCCAAATCGATATTTTATAGAATTTAATATCGAAAATTGTGAGAAACTCGAGAGATTCAATTTCGCACATTCCGTGGACAAAATGTGCAAAAAGTGATCCCGATTTTGGCTTTTATTTTTTCCACAAAGCAAAATCGAAAACATTATTACTGTAATTAAAATTCAATTCGGTAGATTAATCGATTTTTAATTGACTATAAGTAGATACGTGTGCGCAGCCGACACAATACAAGGCTCACCTTCAAATGGCATGGGAAAAAGTCTGCGAAATTCAGAGCAGTCCGTAGGGCGAGGGGAGAGGGTCCGTAAATAGAACTAGGTAAGCTCCAAGGCGAGCACAATTGTAAACTGCAGTCAATCAAATAAAAATTACATGCATATTAGATGAGTCAGCGCATTCGGAAACAAAAGTCGCAGACGCCCATCAAACACCACTCAAAGTTGAACTTCAAAATCAACTGGGGCAAGCTCTCCAACATGAGTTGGCACGGCTACAAAACAAAAGGGAACCAGCTGTTATAAAGTAAATGGATCAAAAAGAGTAGAGTTTTTCCTTTCTTAACAACTGATGCTGTCTTACAAGTAGTTGGCCAAATCATAAACGCACATTTTGTAATTGAAGCAAGTTCAATAGGCGGAGCAAGACACTGACAGTTGCAAATAAGCTATAATAAAAATCGTACTGTGCAAAGGTGTTAAGTGGTTTATCTGATACGATTTGCTTCAGTTGTAGACGTAATTGGGTACTTTGTATAATTTTTTGATTAGACTTGGTAAAGAGTGTAAGTACCTCGGTCCCAAAAATTTGGGAGACGCTGATTTTGATTCAAAACTATTAAAGTCTTAATTAAAATTAAGACGACACGAAAAAATGGTAAGCGCGAATACAACTATATGAGGCTTTGGAAGCATAGATAGTATACAAAGAAAACAACGTTATAAATTTAATAAAGGCGAGGGTCCGTCAAACTTGCTAAACCTGAAGCTCCGAAAGCATAAATTAATTTCTAAATAATACTGATTAAAAACTTTAAAAATATTCAAATAATTTCGGTTTTTAGGCGTGTATACTTCAAGAATTATTTTAGGATTCAAAATTTCAGTTTCGTCGAGCTAAGGCATCCTTATAACATAAATACCACTTCTAGTAAAATAATCTATAAGCAGAACTGAAGAGAAATAAAAAACGTAATTTATGCTATTAGCGCCATTTTCTGAATCAGGGAGTCCAACTGCACCTGAAAGTCAAGGTTTGATCTCTGGAGGATTTTGTAGATTTTAATTTGTAAATCACTATATTCAACTAATACACTAGCAGGAGCCTTCACTCTCTTTTTTAATAGGTTTTGTTTATTTTGCTCATTTATATAGAATATGTGAGATACTGGGTATATTTTAATAAAAATATTTTCACTTTGAAATAAATATTTTCCGTACTGATTTAGCCCCGAGGGGTGTTTTCTTTAAACCAAGGTGTGTTACACTTTTATTTTTATTTTTAGGTACGAAAAAATGTAGATTTAAAATTACAAAAATATAGAATTTAAGATGTTTTTAGCTTATGTTACATTCAAACATTTTGTTATTTAATTTCACTATGCCGGTTTTCTCTGGGTGTAAAGTTTAAAAACTTAAAAACCGGTCGCCGGTTTTGTAAGCACAATATTAAGATGTAGTTCGAAAGTCTAATTGATCGTACTGCCATAGGGAGAATCGGGTTTAATTTGATACATTTTACTGACTTTTGCCTTATCTGACATTTTCATTCCATTTTTTGAAACAAAACTTAGAGTTCGATATATTTTGTTTTGTGCGGACGCTGATCATGCCAAAAAAAATGTTGAATGTTAGGACGACTGCCGATTGTGTAAAATTAAATACATTTGACATCTGAGCTTTATTATAATACCACTCAGTAAGATAGTACATTTTAAACCCACAGTGGTTTTGAAAATAACCGTCATTTAGTAAAATCTTTTTAGTTAGATCACAATCAAAGATATTAAACATTATTTATATTTTAAAACATAAATTTCTCTCTCCTTTTAGTCCTTTTTCGGTCGTACCTACAACAACATTGCGGCGATAGCAGGATGCAAGCACAATGGCGACTGCGTGATCAACAAGAAGAACCGCACGGCCTGCAAGGCGTGCCGCCTGCGCAAGTGCCTCCTGGTGGGGATGTCCAAGAGTGGTTCCCGCTACGGTCGCCGGTCCAACTGGTTCAAGATCCACTGCCTGTTGCAGGAGCAGCAGACGACGACGGGCGTCGGAGGCGGGGGCTCGGCAGGAGGTGGATCTGGTGTCGGAGTGAGCACCGCGAGTCTGGAGCAGCTGGCGCGCCTGCAGCAGGCGAGTAACCAGGCACGCCAAACCTACCAGGACAAGACGAATCCCTGCATTAAGTCGGCCACCGCAACATCGCCCAGGATCGAGGGAGCGGCCGTGGGCACAGGAGTTGGTGGCGCCGCTTCACCCTCGTTTATGCAGGCGGCCAAGTTTCACCACCACCACCATCACCACCAGCGGCAGTTGAAGCTCGAGTCTCGCCTCAGCAACACGCCCAGTGACTCCGGAGCATCCTCTGCCGGGGATCCCAATGAGGATGGGGCCACCAGTGTGCTCAGCGGTCAGATACCCACACCGTCGTCCACCAACGCTAGTGCTCTACCGAAATTGGATCTGCGGCATCCCAACTTTGCGGCGACTTCGGAGCCGGATGCGGACTTGCAGAGGCAGCGCCACCAGGAACTGCTCGAGATCTTTCGCAGCCACTCGGAGCCGCTGTACAGCTCCTTTGCCCCATTCAGCCACCTGCCACCAGTGCTGCTCGCCGCCGGAGTTCCGCAACTGCCCATTTTCAAGGATCAGTTCAAGGCGGAGCGGCTGTTTCCCACGGCCAGCAGTCCGGAACTGGAGGAGCCCATCGATCTGTCTTTCAGATCGCGAGCGGATCAAGCCAGTCCGCTGGCCCACACCTCGAATAGCCCCAGTTTAAGTGAGCCACCCGCCGCGAGTCACTGTTTGGGGGAATCCCCGACCTTCGCGCGAAAGTCCACGCCCCTCGATCTCACCCTGGTGAGGTCACAGACACTAACAGGCTGAGGTCATCTCGTGATTGCCAGAGAATTCGTTCGAGTGCCAAAACAATTTCGAGTACTTTAGGCTTAGGTTGCACAAAGTATTTTGGTTTTGCGGAAAAGTCGATCAGTTTTGAGGGAATGTTTTTTGGAATCTATACATAAACACAAGACTTTTTACAAAAAAAAAAAAAAAAACAAAATTGTAACACTAACCAACAACTAGTAACGAAGAACCTTAAAAACTATTCGACTTTTTACATTCAAACCATACTTTAAGATGTAAGAAGAAATTGTAAATGTTGGTGCCAGTGAAATTATGTACAAATATCCATATTAATATGTATTACCTTAGCTCAATGAAAGTAGATAATTTAAAATTCATTAGGTTTAATTACTATATACAAGTATATAACATAATAACTAGCAAAATTTACAAATGATTGTAATTGGAGATGCGATGTAAATTTAATTACATTTTTTATTGTTTTTTAATTTATGTTTTAAAATTTGTAATGATAAATTTAAGAATTCTTAATTTAAAGCGTTGTTTTCGTATTGACCTTTTGTTTGTTTTATTATTTTTAAATAATTTATTGCACTAGACACTTAAGAAATTATAAAATGTAAAAAAAGAGATGAAATAAAAGTTTGTAAAATTGGAGTAAACATTAAGCAAATATTATTTTTAATTTTATAGTATTTTGCTCACATTTTAAATCTTCCAATCTTTACATTTAAAATCTCTATCTTTTCCCCTCTGGAGGCTGACGTAAAAAGCTTCATTCCATTGACACATGACCAAACTTTTGCCTGACCATTTACAGCAGAAATTTGTTCAGGTTACAAGTACATATCAAGAGTTATATATGTATTTTCAATTCAACTGTCACGGCATTTGTGTTTACGTGTATATCCATCAAGCGGGGACCAGAAAATCCTGGCCAGTCAATGCGTTTTTCATTACATAACAGTGCTGGCTGACATATTTCCAAATGCCAGGCTACCTAGATGTTGACTATATAAATGTAATTATGACAGGCCAAGACAGATGACACAAGTTTATATCCGCTCATTGGAGCAGCAAAGACGTGAACGTGAAATACAAGCCAAACCAAAACAAATGACTTAGGCAACGAACGCGAAATGAAGTCGATTAAAAAATTGTCTGACTTGGCTTATGAAGTTAAGTGGATAAGTTATCATTTGAAATATTTTTATTTAAATATATTACGCACTAAGAGTGACTAATGCACTAAGTAGAAAAAGTAGGTACTTGTATTTTTATTACGTTGCTAACTCAAGGTTTTCTATTGTTGTGTTTGGCATATTGATTATTAACCAGCCTACCTCATATGCATATGCATATGCATATCTGCTGCTGTCTACTCATCTTCGTTGATTTATACACCTTAAACACTTCATTCCACCTTCGCTTGGCCATCACTCACACTCCCAGGTGTGCATATGTATATACGAAGACATAACTCTCTTGATTGGCTGTGAAACGCTCGAATGGCAATTCACACGTCTACTCGATGGCACTATGTCTGTCGGTGTGTTTGGTGTGTTCGGGAGAGTATCTTTGGGAACACGCCCCCCGAGAGCGGCCAGACAAAGTGAGATACAAAGCTGAATAATTGCACGACACACGCACAATTAGCCCCGCAAACAGAAGCTGCTAAGCACAAATAATGCTCTGAGCAAAGTAAATACACCGAGGACCGGGGATCGGGGGGATCGGGGAAATCGGGGGGATCGGAAGAATCGCGTGCTCAATATGCTTTCAAATGCATTTATGCACAGTGATGTGGAGGAATGGGGCGGCGCAGGTAAACAAGTGGCCGCTGGTGTAGATGCTTGTTGCAGATACTCTGGCGATGAGTTTTATTGGTGTCGTCGATAGAGATCTACCGATCGGGGGTAAAGTCCCAGGCAGAAGGGATAAAGATAAAGCTGACTAATACCCCTGAAAGCCAAAGACCACCCAACTTATGTAATACAATACATGCTCCAATAATAATCATAACATTTTGTGACGATTTACGACGGCTGAACTTGAAGCATTCAATAAAATGAGAAAAATAAATAAATCTACGGCACAGGGAGAAAATGAAATCAGTTTACAACCCGATACAGACACAGCGGGCGAGCATTTACAAACAATGAAATTCAATGCAATAATTCAAGATTCAATTGAATTTTAAGTACGCCCAGAGCCGAGCTTCCTTTTGTATCCGTAACTAGAAACTGACGATAAGCTAAGGCCAACCGTCTGTCAGTCAGTCAGTCAGTCAGTCCCGCCGACGGCAATCCATCTCATATGTTATCTGTCCGTCTGTCTCTGTGGCATTTTTGCCTGTGTGTCGCGCACGCGCATAAACTTTTCAGTCCCGAGATTAAACAATCGAAGGCGTCGTCTCGCTGAACCAGTTAGCTTCCTAAGAGGGAATTGGCCCCAAAACTCAGTCATTTTTTTGGTATAGGTAAAACGTGAACAGTAGGTTAACTGTGGCAGCACTTTTCCAGGCTTACTAGTCAAAAATATAGCTGCAATTATAGGGCTTAAATGTAGGACTTACAGTAAAACTTCAAACTTAGCTAAAGTTAAAACGATCCAGTAAATTTGTATCCGATATTGTAGAAGCTGACCATCGAAAGATATTTTTGTGTATCCATAAAAAAAATAGAAATAACAAAGACTTGTAATAAATGCGTCTGCTTATAACTTCGCTTATTATTTACAGCTACAGCTACTTACTTCCATAGGTCGAATTTCTGAAAAACTTAAAAATACGAGCAAGGTTTAATGGATCCTTTAACTCAAAGAAAAGGAACGGTATAGAAGAGTGCTCGATTATTAGATATTCCTTACTCCGCTTATCAATTTTAACATTTTACAAAATATGGCTATGGAACACAGTTGTGTCTAATGCGACTGTGCAGGGTGACATGACAGACTTTCACGATTTATGGGCGTTAGAGTAAGAGTTGCGTGGCCCAATTTTAAAATAAAATTGTCCTGCATAAGCTTATCTGGAGTCTGCAATAGCTTTTATAGTTTCCGAGATCTCAGGCAGACGGACATGCCTAGATCGACCTATAATATATATAAGTTGCAGGATCGGAAACGCTCCCTTCTACCTGTCACATACTGAATACATCGTGAATACAATATACCTTTTGGTCTACGAGTAATCGCCATTGATTTTAAATAAAGTCTCCATCACTTTTACCTCGCTACTCAGATCGACGAAAGGAATATTAATAAATTGCATCTGGTATTTGAGGTGTACTCTCAGCGAAAGTTCGTCAGGCCCTAGTGAAAAGAATAAAAAGGTTTGGCAGTTGAAGCTGGCAGAGCAAAGAGTTTTTTGGTTAAAAAAATAGACGGAAAAATCGGCGACAATGTTTACCGATCCATTTTAATGTCACTTTTGTTAAAAGGGTCCCAGGATAAAGCTGCAATCATTTTTAAAAATTGAAATGAATAATTTAACAATAGTTAATGTTGCACCAGCATCATGTTTCGATAAAAGTTTCGAGCTGAGGCGTTAAATTTCAGGGTCCGCAAATGGCTCTCATAAGTTGAAAAAAATCATATAGTCAGTAGTCTACGTAAAAAATAGGGTAGCGGAACATTTTTTGTTTTTGTAGCGGAACAAATTTTTATTTGTCGAACTCGTCAACTGAAAAGGTTATCTATTTACAAATGATGATTTTTTAATAGCTTTCTTACTTTTAAAAGAAAAAAAAACACATAATTCAGAAAAATTAATGAAATCTGGATTTGAACCGATAGTATGGTTAATATAATTAAATGTTTAAAGATAGTTTCATTTAAATGTTGGCCGCGACTTCGCCTTAAATGCTTCATCCCCTTAGTCCAGTTTTGGCATACTCTTTTCAACATTTCTACCGGTATTGATAATTCACTTGGTAATTCTTTTTGGATTCTGGCCGCTACACCTGTGATGTTTTCGTCATTCCATCACAATACTCCGAATAGCCGACAGAGAAGGTCAACGAAACTTTCTTAACGAAGTATTTATTTTGATACTAAAATTGAATAATTTGCAGCCTTTCTTCGTTTGTTAAACGATTCATGATTAAATTATAAGCCTAGCTGAAAACATTAACCAGGGTTACAAGACAAAAAACTAGCATTAACTGTAAAAACTAGGGCTGCCAAAAAGAAAGTTGATAAAAAATCACCCTTTAGTTGTGTAAAAAGCTTTATTTAAAAATCATTTTATTGTTTTAGTTTATTCTTTTATTTCACTATATATACTTTTTTAAATATATTTATATTTTATATATACATATGTGAAGTAAGGGTCTAGTTACACTTGGGTTGCTTAATTGCGTCATTGCGTCTGGGGCTAGACGCATTATTGTTTTTACAAAGGTATTGTATAGGCAGATAGAGATGCGGAAAAAGTGCGTCAAAGTGGATTTTTGGATTTTTACCGATGTTAACTCGATGTTTAAGTCTAGTACTCAGATCGACGAAAACCGTTTGCAGTCTAATAGCCTGATTAGTGGACTTTTTAAATATGCCTGATTCTATTGGAGCTTTAGCATTAAGCTAATGCCACTCCGACATGTGAGTGGCACGAACAGCTGATCTGGGTTGTTTTACTTTGAATTGTCGCAAAAATTAACCCCGTATATGTGGGAGTCCTTTCCTGCCAGAGATGCAGCAGTAATGATTTTAGTTTTCAGTAATTTTAAAGTGAAATAGATTTTATATTCAAAAAAAAATTAAATATTGCGCCATCCTTGCAAATAGCCCAGCTGCTATAGTGTTGGCAATAACCAAATATCTTTAAAATCATTATTTTCCGGTATTTTTTTAAAATGTTCGGGGCGAATGAATTTTAATCGCATTTATTTATCGCATATATTTTAAAAGCGATATTTTGTCCCAAGTTGTCAAATGCCTCGATAGCATTATGGATAACCTGCTGAGCACTTAAGATATCCGTAAGCTCGCTCATATAGATGATTTGTAATTCAATTCGTTTTGATTTATGGCAATTCAAGAGTAAACAAACCCAGATCAACTGTTCGTGTCACTCACATGTCGGAGTAGCATTAGCTAAATGCTATTGCGCCAATGGAATCAGGCTATTATCCGCATTTATCGATTACAAGCCGATATAAGGTCCACGAATTCCCCTGCTATTTGGTTCGAAAAATATTCAGAAATTTCTCTTTGGTATTTTTTTGGGTCCTCCGTACGGTCTCACCATGCCGGCTTTGTGAGCGGTCCAGTTTCGTCTTCTTTATAACTCGCCGAATAATATGCAAAATGTATCCCGTGAGCTCGCAAAAGAGATCCTGGACGTTCGCCAACGAGGGTCAGTTGGTGGCCTTTCGCGTGGAGCAGAACAACAAGTACATCGAGGACCATGAGGCGGAGGCGCAGGGCCGCGACCTTGAGGAGCATTTCCTCACTCCACCCGAGGAGCGCCTGCTGCTGAAGCAGTACGAGATTTACCTGTTCGACTTCTGCCGCCGCTTCGATCCGCCGATGCCCAAATGCGTGGTCGGCACGGCTTTCAACTACTTTAAACGATTCTACTTGAACAACACGCCGATGGACTACCACCCCAAGGAGATTCTGTAAGAATGTCCTTTAACTAAATATGTTTTTCGGTCTTCAGTGTTATGTATTAAGTTTAAATTTGGTTTGCATTTAATGTTGTCGGTAAACGGCCTAAGAAATGAAAGATTGAAAGCTTTATTCACCAGACAATAGCCTGCTATTTAAAGGTATATATTTCCAATTGAAAAGGTATAAAAAGTTTACAAAGCTGAAATATTTTCAGCCTAAATGTGGAATCTTTTATTATTTAAGATCCTAAAAACTGAAAATCCAAACATGTTTAGTTATGTTTTTTAAATTGATATCAATGAAAAATATCTTTTCAGTGCCACATGTGTGTTTGTTGCCTGCAAAGTGGAGGAGTTCAACGTTTCCATCAACCAATTCGTCAACAACATCAAAGGCGATAGGAATAAAGCTACAGATATAGTCCTATCCAACGAGTTACTTCTGATTGGTCAGCTCAACTACTACCTCACCATACACAATCCATTTAGGCCCATAGAGGGGTTCCTTATAGATATAAAAGTGAGTTTTTGAGTTGGCCCTGAAAGTCATATCCTATACTTTATGTTGTTTTTAGACCCGCAGTAATATGCAAAACCCAGAGCGGCTACGACCACATATTGATAGCTTTATTGATTCCACTTTCTACACGGATGCCTGTCTTCTTCACACGCCCTCGCAGATTGCATTGGCTGCTGTTCTTCACGCTGCCAGCAGAGAACAAGAGAATCTCGACAGCTATGTTACGGATCTTCTATTTGTTTCCGCCAGGGATAAGTTGCCCGGACTCATAGATGCCGTCAGAAGTAAGCTGATCTGCTAAGATAGCGGTCCGTATAAAACATTTTTTTATATTTTTTCTGACAGAAATTCGAATTATGGTGAAGCAGTATCAACAGCCTGATCGGGATAAGGTTAAAGCCATCGAGAAAAAGCTCGATAGGTGCCGCAATCAGGCAAATAATCCGGATAGCGATCTGTGAGATAAATTAGACATTTAATAGCTAAAATTTTAAATAACCTGTATTTCTAAATAGCTATAAGGAGCGCTTACGAAGATTGTACACCGATGAGGATGATATACCCGCCGACGATGCATCATTCCACATAGCTGATGTAAGCTCGGATACATCTGCCATGAACATAAGCCAGTAGTTTTTAAAAATATTTATAATGATTGTTTTTCAGTGAATTTTTTTAAAATTAAAATATTTAAAAATATTAAAATCTTGCACCTGCCTTGCTTTGCTTTAAAATAATAACTTGAAAGCGTTATAAAAAGAACTAAACCGGGAGTTTTGGCAAACGAAGTTTTAATAAACATTATTTGGCTTAATCAGGGTCCACATCGGGAAAGTGCTGCGATTATGTCAGCCTTAGGATACAGTTATAATAAAACCATACAACTAGGAGTATACAGAATGATATGAACATAGTTACTTAAAAAATAGAAAAGTCAGAATGACCATTAATAATTTTTTTTAACTCTTTTACGATTGTTTCTATGACAGCTATAAGATATCAAAACCAACCAAGAGATTTAAAAAAAAAAAGATTAAAAATTAAATAAGCTGACAATAACAACGAACAGCTGTTTCAAATGTAGTGTGGCAACGCTCGAGCTGACGTCCAATGGAATGGCGAGGGATTTCCAAAAAATATTGTTGGAATATTCTGCTTGCAGTCTACGGTCACTCTGCTTCTAAAAGAAAACAACAAAAACTGAATTAAACAACAAGTTAAGAGGAAAAACATTATGCAGAATATATTCCCCTCGCTGGACGTCCTCTTCCTTGGACTACCAGGACACTATTCTGTAGCGCTAATCACTTTGCTCCTATGTGTTTTAATTGCTCTCTATTTCGCCAACTTCTTCAAGGACAAAACAGTGGGTGTTTTCCAAATAAATAGCGTTTCTTGGAATAATTTGACTATTCATTTGCAGGAACTGGAGGATGAAGGACTGGGAGCTGACGAGCCACGCGATGAGGAGGATTCCGAGCCAAGGACACCTCAAGGGGAGCAAACCGACGACGATGAGGCCTACGAGGAGAACTCCACTGAAAGCGATGTTGAGTTCGTTGAGGAACAGCAGCACGGCCACAACTACAACCACCTGATGGGCCAGTTCAAGGCCAAGAGGCTGCAGCACAAGATGGAAAAGACCTTGACTCCCAGCCAGATCGAGGAGGAGCGCCGAATAGAGCGAGAGCAGCTGGCGGCCATTTTTGACCTTCTGCGCAAACAGGAGGCGGAACTAAACCTCCAGGATCGCATCAGCGACCAGGATCTCAAGCAGCAGGTTCGGCTCTACCGCTGAAGTGGAGGGAAACAAAAGCTCAGCTTACCTGAATGCAGAAACTAGTGTGATCTATAAGTTAAATGTTCAAATGTCCCAGTTTTGCTGTTACCATATGCCGCTCACTTATAGTAAGGCTATCCTTAAAAAAACTAGTTTTAGGAGTTCATTTCTATAATGATTAACTTCATTTAGTCCCTTATGTAATTTTAATTTAAGTTAACTACGTATTTATTTATATCTTGTAGTAAGTGAGCGTTATATGATTTTTCTTACCTTAAAGTGAAGCTTATATCAGCTTGAAAACACAAAAATGTATATTTTTAAATGTAACAAGCATTTTCACTTTGAACTAAGATCTGAAAACAGCCTATATGTATATAGCGATAGCAAAACTTAAGTATTTTCGTATAATTAGTTGCCAAATCAGTTGGTTAGTTTTAAATTGTACTTACATAGTTTTAGTTTCATTCCAAGAACTCGTTGAATAAAGAATTTGAAATGCTATATAATCCGAGCTCTGGCTGCAATAAATTTCATTGCAGAACATAATTGTTAAAAGCTTAATACTGGTGTGTTATTTAATATTTTTAAGATTTTCTGAAAAACTTGGTTTTTCGATTGAAAAAAAAAAAACAGATAAAGTGACTGTGACGTAACCCGGATCTAAATTTGTGTGATTAGTTAATTCAAGTTTTTGAAAATGATTAATGTTTTAATTATTTAAGCTTAAGTAAAGTTATAGGTTGGGCTTTTTTAAAAACATAATTAATTATTCCAAGTTTCCAGAGGCCACCACTAGACTTACGCTGTTTAAGCGACAGTTGCATTATACAAATTTAAGCATTGTTACCGACAGAAGATATTTACCAAACTGTTAAGGTTTTGATTACTGCATGGTTTTAAGACCCTGTTAAAAATGATAACGAACAGAAAACATCGGCTATCAACCCACCTTTGGTTGAGCTTGAAATGACGTGTCAGTTTCAAAATGATTAGTACTAAAATGGTTTTAAATTCACGTGGAGCAGAAATTTTGTTGCAGTTCTAAATACGTTCGGTTTGGTTTGGTTGATTGTTAAACGTGTCGTTGTGGCGCCAATGCATGTTGACTATCGTTTATCGATACACCGCGTACACGGCAACCGTGTGTGTCCACACACAAATCCGTTAACCAACACTGACTGCAGCAGAACACGGCAGACGGCAAAAACAACAACAACAACGACAACAACAACATCGTGTTCCTGTGTGTGTGTCCGTGTGAGATTGGAAGACAATGGCTGCAGCTGCGGATCTGGTTGTTCCTACCCTTGCCAGTGAGTATATTCGCGGTTTAATCCTAAACCAAAATACCTCCAAAATGTGTGGGAGTGTGTGGGGCATCGAAGGCATCCATTTTTCTTGCCCGGCGCAATGGGAGAAGCCCCAAACGTGCGACCTCGTGTTTTTGAACCTGCTAATCGAGGCCAAATCTTGAATCTCATTCACAGTTCGCTCTAGCGTGGCCGTGGAATTGTGGTCCTCGGCGGGCTCCAAGCAGCCCTTCGAGCACAAGCCCCACCTGCCCCGCGAGGAGACGAAGAGCTCGCGCTCGATCTGCTTCAGCTCCGACGGCCGGTACTTTGCCTTCTCCAACGGCCAGGAGGTCAAGGTGCTGCAGGCAAGCCAGGACAGCGCCGCCAGCTGGCCGGTCAAGTGTGTCCTGCCCAGGCCCAAGGCCTTCTACCTCCAGTTCTCGCCACGTGGCAGCTACCTGTGCACCTGGGAGCACTATGCCATCACCAAGGACCGGCCGGAGGGCTCGCCCAATCTGCTCGTCTACGAGGTGGCCACCGGCGCCGAGGTGTTCGCCATCGTTCAAAAGAACCAGACGGACTGGCAGCCCTCCTGGTCGGCGGACGAGTCCATCTTCGCCCTGGTCGTCGGAGGCGAGGCACTCTTCTATGACCTCGGCGAGGGCACCGACAAGGGGTTCGCCACCACGTCGCGCAAGATCGGCGGCAGTCGCGGCGGAATGCTGTCGCTGGGCCCCGGCAACTGTCCGCCCTTTCTGGCCTTCTACACGCCGGGCGCCAAGGGGGCGCCCTCCATGTGCAAGCTGTACAAATACCCGGCACTCGGTCAGAACCAGACCGTCGCCTGCAAGAGCTTCTTCCAAGCGGACCGCGTCGAGATGCTGTGGAACAAGCGCGGCAGCGGACTGCTGCTCCTGACCAGCACGGAGGTGGACAAGAGCGGTGCCTCCTACTATGGCAACCAGGCGGTGCACTTCATGGCCACCAAGGGCGACACCTGCTCCGTGCCGCTCTCCAAGGAGGGTCCGGTGCACTGCGTCAAGTGGAGTCCCAAGGCAACTGAGTTTGTGGTCGTCTACGGCTTCATGCCCTCCAAGGCGGCCCTCTACAACCTCAAGTGCGATGTGGTCTTCGACTTTGGCGAGGGACCGCGCAACTGCGCCTATTTCAATCCGTTCGGCAATCTCATTGTGCTCGCCGGCTTCGGCAATCTGCCCGGTGCCGTTGAGGTGTGGGATGTGTCCAAACGCGAGAGGCTGGCGAACCTCAAGTGCGCCGACACCACGGTCTTTGAGTGGCATCCCAACGGCGAGTGGTTCGTCACGGCCACCACGGCGCCCAGGCTTCGCATCAGCAATGGGTGAGTGGTTACCCAAGTAATCGTCTTTATAACGCTAACAAAATACAAAAAAAACTCCTGCAGGTTCAAGGTGTACCACTATTCGGGCGCCCTGCTGCACGAGACCATGTGGCCGCAGGGCCAGGAGCTACTGGGCATCGAGTGGCAGCAGTTCGCGGACAAGACGTTCAGCGAGCCCAAGATCACCAAGGCCAAGCACGAGGGCATCAAGTCCAGCCAACCGGAGGCCAGCAAGAAGGCCTACACACCGCCCCATCTGCGGCTGCTGAAGGAGGGCAAGAATCCGGAAAAGTATCTGCCCCAGCCGAGTGTTCCCGGACTGGCGCCGGCAGCAGCAGCAGCAGGTAATGCGACGCGGCAATTTTGGCACAGGCAGTACGACCTGGACAATCCGATCATGCGGCGGAGCGAACAGGGACAGAGCCAGCTGCTGGTGGGCAATGGACGCGAAGGTCCGCCGGCTACCGGGACCTCGAGCAGTCGTCCCAACCGGCGCTACCGGCCCTACCAGCACAAGCGCTACTAAATTCACCGACTCATGCAGTTCCTCTCAGCTCCTTTCACCCCTTCCACACACACACACACACCCACACATATTATGTACTAACATGCCAATTAGGATTAGGGATTGACGCGGCCGTAAGTAGGTTCGGCTGTGTGTTTGCTAATTGCTGTTTGCATTTCTATTCCGCCTGCAGGTGGTGCCAATGGAAATGGAAACAAGAGGAACAACAACAACAACAAGAATAAGCCCCGGAGCGCTAGGAAGGATGTCATTGTTGTAAACGGCGGCGATGCGGATTGTGCCGCGGCCGAGGTCGCCGATTCAGCTGCTCCAGCTGCTCCGACTGCTGTGTCTGTGGCCGGAGACGAGCCGAGGCAGCAGGCCACTCCCAGACAGAAACACCAGCAGGATAACGCGGCCGATCAGCACCAGAATCCGCAGGGAGAGGGCCAAGGCCAGGCCAATGGCCAGAACATCAGCGAGAAGGACCGCAAGATACGCAGCGTTGCCAAGAAGCTGTCGGACATCAAGAAGCTAAAGGTGCGCCGTAGTCAGGGCGAGACCTTGGAGCTGAACCAATTGAACAAGATTAAGATGGAAGCACGGTACCTGGACGAGCTCAAGGCTCTCAAGTTGTCGGCCTAAGGGAGACGATGATGGCGACAACGACAACGACGACGGCGGCGAAGAAGGACGAAGAAGCGAGGAGTAAATTGCTCTTGTGATTGTGATACACCACCTACTCTCAGCTCCACTCCGTGTTCACCTCCAGTCCGTCCCCCTTCCTGCTGTTTAACGCTCACTTTGCGGCCCCCATTTTGCCGCAATAAGTTTCTAGTTAAAAAAAAAAAAAAACATTTTTCTACTATTGTGATTTCTAAAACTATTTTTTGGCAAAAAAAAGCACACAGTAACTCCCCAAACAAAACAAATTTATGTACCAAATTGTGCTACCGAGTAAATAAAGATGTTTCCACCAAGATCGCTCTTCCGCCGGGTGGACTTACTGCTCCCAATTCGACTTCTTCTTCACGAACTTCTCCTGTCCGTTCTCCTGGACGGCTACATAGTAGCCCAGACTCTCGTACTTGTAGCGCATGTAGGCGATGTAGCCAAAAACCCCGGCAAAGGCGGTCAATCCCAGGCCCATGATGATTTTGTTCTGCCAAAGTAGTTATATAGCTGCTTAGTTCATTCAAAAGTTGGGCTTTATTGCATTCCTACCGGTTTCGTGTACAGCTCAAAATTGATCAGCCGGAAGACCCCGGTGCTTCGCATGGAACGGATGCCATCGCCCGGATTCTGTTGCTTTCCCTCGCTCATCGTGTCCGCGTACTCCGCTCAGTCGCCAGTTAATTTATTGCACAATGAATTTGTAAATATAAACATGTGAAAAGGTTGGGGCATTGTGCGGGCAGTGTGACCGTTGCAGGGCAAAATACCTCTAATGTTGGATACGGTGAAGCTTGACCTGCAGTTTAAAACCAAAGTAAAAGGACTTAATTTGTATCTCTAGGCCATTAAGAGAAGTAGGGTGTACTTTTTTTCTACTACATAAACTTAAAGGTCTTTTAGGATTTAAAACAATTTTTGAAAATTTTCATCGACTGAATCTCTGAATTGCTGAAATTCGGTCAGCTGTTCGTCAGCTGTTCCATACATATCCAACTGGCTGAAATTTCAGCAACCCATTTTGTTGAATTGCTGAAACATCAGGGTAGTCGCGCTTTTCTACTAAAATTAAGAAGGCAACACTGGTCCCAACATGTAAGTAATGAAAAAATATGTGCATATTCGCATCGCTCAATTAGTTCGCGGCCCGACATATAAGGAGCAGTAGTAAGAAAACAAAGATATTTCTTAACGAAAGTGTCGATTATCATAAGCTCTGTGTAAAAATTATACAACTCTGTGACCACGTGCTTTTAAGTTACAAATTTTTAAGTAATACAACCTTTGGGTCTTTCTACAATATGGAAAAAAAGGAGTTTCGTGTCCTGATTAAGCACTGTTTTTTGATAGGAAAAAATACAGTAGAAGCAAAAGCTTGGCTTGATAAACATTACCCAGATTCTTCTCCGGGAAAATCAACCATCAAAGATTGGTACAATGAATTTAAACGTGGTCGTGTGGACACCAAAGACGCTGAACGCAGTGGTCGCCCAAAAACAGCAGTTACGCCAGAAAATGTGGCAAAAATCCGAAAAATGGTATTGGCCGATCGCAAATTGAAATTAAAGGAGATAGCTGATGCCTCAAAGATATCGGAAGGCAGTGTGTTTACGATATTACATGAACATTTGGACATGAGAAAGCTCTGCTCGAAGTGGGTGCCGCGATTGCTAACACCGGACCAAAAGCAACAACGCATCGATGCTTCCGAGACGTGTTTAAGCATGTTGAAGCGCAATAGGATCGATTTTTTTCGCCGTTACGTAACCATGGATGTAACCTGGATACACCACTATACTCCAGAATCCAGTCGTCAGTCTTCTGAGTGGGTGGTAGCCGGCGAAAGCCGTCCGAAGCGTCCCAAAACACAAATATCGGCGGGTAAGGTTATGGCTACTGTATTTTGGGATGCACATGGGATTTTATTTATAGACTACCTGGAAAAAGGTAAAACAATAAACAGCGAATATTATATAAAACTGCTGGATCGATTGGATCGCGTTATCAAGGAAATACGTCCACATATGGCCAAGAAGAAACCACTGTTTCACCAGGATAATGCACCATGCCACAAGTCTATGGCAACAATGGTGAAATTGAGTGAATTGAGGTTCGAACTTCTGCCGCATCCACCTTATTCTCCAGATATGGCCCCCAGTGACTACTGGCTTTTTTCAGATCTCAAAAAGCACCTCCAAGGCAAGAGATATCGATCAAATGAGGAGGTGATTGTCGATACTGAGACCTATTTTGAGGGTAAAAGTTCATCTTTCTACAAAAATGGCATAGAAAGGTTGGAGAAGCGCTGGACTGAGTGTATAGCCGTAGATGGAAACTATATTGATGAATAAAACAAAATTTTCAAAAAAAAAGTGTTTTTCCTTGTTAGGCCGGGAACTTATTGAGCGGTTTAGACAGTACAACCTATTAGTTTAAATTACTGCTGAATTTTCAGAAATTCAGAGGTTTGGTCGCTTAGGGCATACCAAAAGTGATTTGCCAGTCATTTTGGCTAATAATTTATATGTGGATTCATTTACTTTTTTTTAACGAAAAATGTACCTAAATCAATTATGGAATCCCCCCAATGAATAAGAGAAAACTATTTTATTTGATGTAAATATGATATAAGCTTCCTTGAATAATCTATAAAAATCCGTATAATAATATAAGTATAATTAAAAATTTTATTGCAGCGTTAAATTAAAATTATTGATTACAAATTAACTTTTCCGCATTAAATTACAAGTATTATACTTGTAGCGTTAGGACGAAGTTTTTAAATAAATTAGATTAAAAAAAGGGATGCAATTATTTAAAAACACTTTCGAAAAACCTAGATACAAATTTTGGGTAGAGGTTCTACCTGTTGAATATTTAGAAACAGCTGACAGCATTTTAGCCGTTCACATAAAAACCTTCTGCTTTCATTGTTTATGAAAGCAATTTAAACGAAATGAATTTGAGTCGCGCTATTTACCTAAACTCAATGGAAAACTCTGATGAAGATTTGGAGATACGACATCGTAAGCCCCGGGTATACGAAACGAGGCCCAACTTTTTGAAAGATATGGACGATGATGAGTTTATAACTAAGTTTCGGGTTTCGAAGGCTACTTGCTCGATGCTTTTACAAAAAATAGGATGGAAAATGGAGCACCTGACATCCAGGTTTGTTACATTTTGAACTGCGAAAGATGCCCATTTTAACGCTATAAATTTGCACAGAAACTACGCTCTGAGTCCGGAGGACAAACTATTGTTGGCCCTACGATTCTATGCCTGTGGAAACTTTTTAGTGGCCGTCGGTGACTTCTGCAATGTGAGCACATCCTCCGCTTGTCGAGCCGTAAAAGAGGTTTCCTTCCACATTGCTGCCATGTCCAGGGAGTACATCAAGTTTGGCGATCCCGATGACGTTGTGGAAGGACTCCAAAAGCTATCCAATTTTCCTAATGTGATGGGGGCCATTGGGTGCACACATATTCGGATCAAATCCCCAGGGCAGAGACAAGATGAAGCATTCCGCAACCGGAAAGGGCACTTCACATTGAAGGTCCAGGCCGTTTCCAGTGCGCAGTTGATTATCCAAGATTTGGTGGCCAGGTGGCCTGGCTCAACTCCAAACAGCACCATCTTCGAAAACAGTCGATTGAAACAGCGATGGGAAAGCGGTGAATTCCAAAATAGTGTTCTTCTGGGCAATGGCTACAAGTCAAGCAAGTACATGATGACCCCCGTTGCTAAGCCCACCACGGAGGCGGAAAAACATTACAATCAGTCCCAGATCGCCACTGTCAACATAGTTTCCAAGTGTTTTGAGGCTTGGAAACAACGGTTTCCGGTTCTGTCCTACGGAATGCACATCCATGTTGATACTGCCAAAGTGGTCATCGTTGCCTGTGCGGTGCTCCACAACATAGCCATCCAGGAAAAGGATCCACTGCCACCCAAGATTGAGGATTCGTCACCGGAGTCGTTTGAGGATGACGAGGAAATCGATGACATAGTGGATGCCTCCGATGGGTTTCACAGAAACGATTTTATTAATAAGTATTTCGATAGGTAATACAAAAATTGAATATCTTTATCTATTAGTCTTAGAGTAAATTGAGATTAGAGAACATCAATCCTTTGGAGCATCCTGCAAAGTAGCAATAAGCAGAAATATTACATAAAATTAGCAAGTTAGCAAATCAATTTCAATTTGCTTACAGAGAGTTTTTGTTTTTTTTCAGCTATTTCTAAGCAAAGTAACTCGCGTTTCGCACTTAAGTTTGCCATTTCCTCCCGGTGTTTTTCCTGTGCCCGAATATTTTCCTGTTCGTAGAACTTACGCTGTGCCCTGATCAATCGCAATTTTTCCTCTTCGAATAGACTGCCAATGTCACATCTTTTGGGTTCTGTTCGGGCAGACGGACTTCTAGGTGGTGCAACCAGTGTCCTTGGCTTGGAAGCCACATTCTCATCAGAGTTCTCCTCAATGAAATCGATTATATCCGAATAAGATCCCGAAGGACCCTCCGACGGCGTCTCAGTCATAACACCTGGAAGTCAAATGAAGGCGTGGTCTTTAGCAGCAATTAACAATCAAGACTTACAATCACTGTCAGAGTCCTCATCTCCAAGTATTGCCTTAAGTTTTTCGGAAACGGATATTGTGGGCGGCTGCCATTGGGGTAAGCCACCGCTAAGTTTCTTTTTTAAACTCTCGTACTTGGCTCGTAAGCTGTGACCGGAGCGCTTAATCCCAGACTTGATCGAATAGGTGGCCGCCAGATTTTCCCAGGCTAATTCCTTTGCTTTCCAGGTCACAGCATCGCATCTTTTATTTTCGAAAATCTTTCTCTGCTCGGCGGCTAAAGTGATGAGCAAAAACTCTTCGTCCGTAGAAAAATTTTGACCTCGCTTGAACTGGTTTCTATGCCTCTTCATTTCCAGTATTGTTGATCAAACGACATATGTACATAGGTACATATAGTTCACACCTTCGTCCTGAAGTCCGTAAGATAAAAATATGTTTGAGAAACTGCACTTAACCTCCAGGTTGACATAAAAGTAGTGGTTATTTGCTCAAATATGCACATATGTCTATGTTTCTGGTAAACTAACAAAATGCGTGTCGGAATGTGTAACAGCCGCAGTTAAGACTCTATCTGTTAGTTAAGTTGAAACAGATGTTTTGCCGTTCACGATAAATATTTCAGTAAGGGTATTCTTGCATAGCTATTTTTTTTTGGCTATCATCGGCTTAATTTTGAATTATTGCCTTCTCGGTTTTAATAAACGTTTTTAGTTTTTTTTTTTAAATATTCCGTAAAAATTTCAAGCCACAATTTCCAAAACTCTGGAAGTTATAGTTGATTTTCGGGGGAAGCTCCAGTAGACCTTTAAAGTAAAGGTTGTTTTCTCGAAACAAAGTTTTAGGATAAGCGGGTGTAATGTTCTAAAAAAAAATCAAGCTTATTTTTTATAAGATGAAATTAATAATATTCAATTTAATATTCTTTTTATAGTACAATTTACATAATTTTTTATTTATATTAAACGCGAAAAAAAATATATTTTCTGTCAAGTTTTTATTGTTTCTATGTTGCCACTTCTTATTTTTCAAAATGTTTTTATAGCTTTCCACTAATTGAACGCGGATATAATCCTTCTTAAATAGCTGACTTCATTTAAGCAATACCGTGTTTGACAGTTAAAATAACACAGTTATTTATTAACGTTCAGTTAAATTACCGGTTAACAATTTCTTTTGTTGCTCAGTTGGCTAGTAGTTAAATCGCACATATATTTTAACTTGACAATGAGAAACCGTCTCTAAAACTTAACTACCGGTTACTCACTAAAAAAATTCAAAAATTTAGTTAATTTAATAAAATAAAATGCAGTGTTAATCAATTTTTATCTGGCACTCGTTTGATAGAAAAAAATGTAGTCTCGAAAAAAAAGGCATATTTAAAATGGGAGGGCAGTTCTTTTTAAGCTGAACGTTCCTCAAACCTGGGAATAATACAAGCTTGTGATGTTTTGTGCAACACATAATATTTAATAATAAATATTTATTATATTATTTAATTTACATATTTAGAGGGCAGTCAAATTCAAATTGATAGCCGCGGTCCACAAAGCTCAGACCCCGCTCCGAACCGACGGGAAAGTCAGCTGTGAACACAATATATCCCCGATATTCTGGAGAACTTTTGAGATTCTGCAGTGGATCATTTGAGACCATTATAGAGAAATAGAGCAAGACTGGATGTGAAATACCTACCGCTTTATCCACAAAATCCTCAAAGCCACTGAGCTCATAGTAGAGCAGCAGCGGCGGCGACCGTCCAAATCCTGGCTTTTGTTTGTACGGTTCTCGCTGCTTAAGGACACTGAGGGCGCGGGGCAGAAATTGCGGCGTAAGATCGCGACAATAGGACACGTCCAGGTGTTCCAGTCTCGGACAGAGCTCCACGAACCTGACCAGAATTTCGTCGCTCAGATGGCTCCAGTTGCGAAGGCACAGCAGCTGGAGGTCTGTCATACAAGTGTAGCGCTCCAGGTAGTCGGCCGCATGGGTCCAGCTGCAAATGGCCAGGCGCTTAAGCCGGCGATGCGGCCAAATGGGCAGCTTCTCATCCCAGCCCGGTTCCAGGGGCATATAGTAGCCGTCCACGGCAAAGCCCACGATATCCGTGGCCTTGCGCTCCATGATCTCGTAGAACTCGCCGACCTCGCGGATCTTGTGGTCGTAGCTATCCGGGCTGACCATCGGTGGTATGTGCCACTCGTTGTCCAGCAGCACGACTAGTTGCCTGAGGGAAGGCAGATCCAGCACTGCCGGCAAAATGGGCTTCAAGGTGGCCAGATTCAGCTTGAGAACGGCGAGCTTCCTGAGGCTCTGCACACAGTTTCCCAGCTGCAGTTTGCTGATCATGTCGTATGTCCGAATGTCCAGAACCCGAAGATCGTGCAGCTTGCTGCGGGGCAAGTGAAAAGAATGGGCGAGTTGCAAACAGTCAGTACTTTAGACTTCTCTACTCACTGACACACTTCGTCCAGATACTCCTGCTGCAGCTCGTAGGCCTTGTGCTGGTCCTCGTAAAGATGCAACTCCTGCAGGTGCTGGAAGTGGGACAGATACCGCCCGTCAATGGGCGTGGTGAGGCGCAACTTGCGCAATCCCGGCAGCAGTTGGGCCAGCTTGCGAATGCTCCGGTTCGATGGGTAACAGTCGACGTCCTCGGGATCGTAGTAGAAACTTGCCACCAGGGGCAACTCAGCGATGTGCATTTCGTCCAGGTCCTTCAGCAGGGCGCACAAACAGCTGCTCACGCACATCTCCCTGATGTGCGGCCGCATCTGAGTGAGGAAATAGACCAGATCCTCGTAGTTGGGCAGCAGTTCCCGCCACTTGTCCAGATCCAGTTGCTCGTAGGCACGGCTGGTGCGCCACTTGGCCAGCGAGATGTGTCGCAGTCGCTGGCAGGTCCGCGCGAAGGACACTTCGGTCGGCAGGTCTTGCAGGCGGTCGAAGATCTCGTCCAGACAGTCGTCGTTTAGTCGCAGGATTTGGCAAACCGCCTCCGCAGCCATGGCCGTGGCGAGTCCTCGTTACCGGATCCGGATTAGCAGTAGACTTGGTAAAATACTCGTTTCTGAATCCTTCCACACAACGCTGCCCAATTGAATAACAAACAAAAATACATTACCCCCCTCAGTGTGACCGCTCGCGGAGCGCCTAAATATACCGAAAAAAAAACGTAAAAGGTCTCACTACACTTGTTCTTTATTTATTTATTTTTTGATTTCTTAAAATCGCACATTTTTTAATTCGAATTAGGGACAAAGAAAAAATTAGAAAGATGTAAAACTCTTACTTACATTACCATCTGTTCGGGGCTTTTAGTAATTTACATATGTATTTATTTTAATACGTTAATTTATTAATATTAACTTTTTCAATAATAAAATATTAATATATATTTTATTCTTTTGGTAAAGAAATTTTAAAATTTTTTTCGTAGCGGATATCTACTGTACTACAAATGTTGCGAAACGCGTAAAGGCCAGATAGTGCAGGGTGGCCAGACCGTGTGACCGTCGTCTTAAGTTGCCAGACCGTTTAACTGACAAAACACGTGTGTGTGCGCATTCTTTTTTGTGTGAACGAGCGTGCGGCTAGGAATTAAACGCGGATCGAAAATAAGAATAAATAGTTGAAACAATCATGACGGACCTGCTGAAGATCACTGATGCAATCGTTCTGGAGTACCTGCAGTCCAAGGACAAGAACCTGGCCAAGGTTTACCAGCAGAAGACGAAGGCGGTAAGTTTCGTTGCAAGGCGGCAAGTGCAATGTGTCTGCTTTGGATGCACTAAAAACCTGTGACGTCTGCCTCCGCAGGGCGGGATAAAGAAGCCGGTTTTCTATTCAGTACATGGTACATGCTTCGTGGTCCGTCCACCTGCCCGTGCCCATCTGAACCACCTCTGTGACCACGTGTTCGCTAACCAACAACTTTCCACTTTTCCTTCCCACAGGCCAGCGTAGCTAAGAGCACGCCAAAGCTGACAGAGATTGTGCAGTTCTACCAGACGAAGAGCACCACCAAGATTCCGGCCATCAAAGCGACGGCGGCTAACAGCAGCGATGAGAGCGACTCCGACTCCGATGCGGAAGAGGCCCCCAAGAAGCCAGCAGCCGCGGCGGCTCCACTGACCAACGGCAAATCCGCCAAACCGCAGGCCTCTAGCAGTGAGGACAGCAGCTCCGAGGAGGAGAAGAAGCCAGCGGCAAAGGCCACTCCGGCCAAGGCAGCCCCAGCCGCCAAAAAGGCAGATTCGTCCAGCGAAGACAGTTCGTCGGAAGACGAGGCACCCAAAAAGGTAGCGCCAGCAAAGGCAACTCCCGCCAAGAAGGCAGCCTCGAGCAGCGAGGACAGCGATTCCGAGGAGGAAAAGAAGCCTGCAGCAAAGGCCACTCCGGCCAAGGCGACACCTGCCAAGAAGGCTGCTTCCTCCAGCGAAGACAGTTCTTCGGAAGACGAGGCACCCAAGAAGGCAGCGCCAGCAAAGGCGACTCCCGCCAAGAAGGCAGCCTCGAGCAGCGAGGACAGCAGTTCCGAGGAGGAAAAGAAACCAGCGGCAAAGGCCACTCCGGCCAAGGCTGCTCCGGCTAAAAAGGCTGCATCCTCCAGTGAGGATAGCGATTCCGACGACGAGCCAGCCGCTAAAAAACCTGCGGTCCAGGCTGCCGCTAAAACTGCCGCTAAGCCTGCCGCTTCCAGCAGCGAGGACAGCGATTCCGATGATGATAAGAAGCCCGCAGCAAAGGCTCCGGCCAAGGCAACACCGGCCAAGAAGGCTGCATCCTCCAGCGAAGACAGCTCTTCGGAAGACGAGGCACCCAAGAAGGCGGCTGCTCCAGCCAAGGCCACACCAGCTAAGGCTGCTCCCGCCAAGAAGGCTGCAACCTCCAGTGAAGAAAGTTCGTCGGAAGACGAGGCACCCAAAAAGGCTGCTGCCACGCCAAAGCCCACACCAGCCAAGAAGGCCGACTCATCATCCAGTGACGACAGCGACTCGGATGAGGCTCCCAAGAAGCCGGCAGCGAAGCCTGCTGCAAAGGCTGCTCCTGCCAAGAAAGCGGACTCCGAGGACTCTTCTGACGATAGCGACAGCTCTGAGGACGAAAAGCCTGCCAAGGCAGCTGCTCCCAAGGCACCGGCCAAGGCTGCCGCCTCGAGCAGCGAGGACTCTAGCGACGATGATGAGGCGCCTGCTGTGAAGCCAACTGTCAAGAAGACCGCTGCCCCCGCCAAGGCGCAGGAGAGCAGCAGCAGCGACGACTCTGGCGAGGAATCCGGCGAGGTGAAGCCCAAGGCGTTGGCCAATGGCGGAGCAAAGCCCGCCCAGAAGCGCAAGTTCAGTGGTGGTGACCAGGACGACGCTACTCCCAACAAGAAGTACAACAACTTTGTCAAATCGGGAGATCAGCAGGTGAGTCAGTTTATTGTATTTTCAGGGCATGCGAATTCTGGATTAGTTTCCTAAACAAGAGAAGTTTGGGTTGTCCAAAAAAAGATCTCAAGTTAGTCGTCAGAAATATCTGAAACATGCTGGTTAAAGCAGTTTATTGTATTAAATTATTTGCCTGTTAACTACGAGTTTATAAAGAATGATTAAAATATGGTCAAATCGAACATATTGTTTGGATTCCAAAGTTCTTTACACCTTGTCCGAATCCTGTGAAGACAGTTGATTTTCTATTTGTTTAACATTCGCAGAACAATAGTTTCACCTCCACACCCAACAACAACAACAACAATAGCTGGAACAATCAGTCCAACAACAGCGGAGGGGGAAGTGGCCGTAGACGGTCACCCTTCCGGCGGGTTCGCACCGAGGAGGTGCTCGTGGACAGCCGTGTCCAGGACATGTCTTTCGAGGCGAAGGTGAGTGCCGCAGTGGATTTGAGTCGCGCATCTGGGTGGGTGTGTGTGTGTTCGGGGTGTTCGGAGTGTTCGGGCTGAGAGGGCTGGGGGCTGGGGCAGGTAGGGTTTTCCGAGAGGCCGAGAAGAGGGTGACACACAAATTAGCATGTTTGCGCCGCGTAGAAAACTCAAATCACTTGTGGCACTTTCCACTTATCCATTTTGCAACCCAACTTGCATTTCAAATCGTTGCTAATTTGTGGTTTGCCCTCTTTGGCGTTTCTCTCCCATTTCAGGACGGCGGCTTCAAGAAGCACAACAACAATGGACGTGGCGGCCGTGGCGGATCCGGGTTCGCCGGACGTCCGGATCGCAGCACCTGGGAGACCAACAAGAGTAACGGCGAGGATGGCGGCGAGGGAGGCGGCTTCAAGAAGATTGGCGATCGCAAGAGCTTCGGAGGCTTCGACAACAATCAGCGCGGTGGACGCGGAGGACGAGGCGGCGGCGGCGGACGTGGAGGAGGTGGCTTCGGCGGACGCGGAGGTGGTGGCCGTGGAGGCGGCGGTGGCTTTGGCGGACGTGGTGGAGGCGGCCGTGGAGGCGGCGGCTTTGGCGGACGGGGAGGTGGTGGCCGTGGGGGTGGCGGACGTGGTGGTGGATTTGGTAACAAGTCCTTCGACTCGTCGGCGCCCAAGCCAAACAAAAAGATCACGTTCGACAATTAGAGTTAGTTTTAGTTAGCACCTCCCACCCGTAAACACCCATACACACACAAACACATCCTTGATGCAGTAATGTTGTTATCGACTAACCTGTTTATATTATTTGTAAACCACGATAGAAAAACGCTGCCGGCTCTTGGGGCGAGCGGGCCAATAAGGACCTGAAGCACACGCGCGGCAAGTCCTTCAAACACGAGAAGACCAAGAAGAAGCGTGGCAGCTATCGAGGCGGCCAAATTGACACGGGAGTCAATTCAATAAAATTTGACTAGATTTATACATACACTATGAAATAATCAATATTCTAAAGGATACGTTTAGTCTGTAAGCAAGCGGAGTAACTATATAGAATAGTTTCTTTATGCAATACTTTCGCCAACATGTAAAGTCTTTCCAAACTTTTGATTTGATTTAAAAAAGTCCTTTGCTTTTATATCCTAAGTTTTAATTTGAATTTGATCAATGCGAACTGGCGGTCAATAAAACCGTGACCAAACTAAACTTCTTTAGCCATCTTTTTCCTCATCCAAACTAGTGCTTACTATTGCTATAGCGGATAAAACCCTTTCTTTTCCTGATCAATCTGGATGTAACCGGAAGGCCTATTGCTGACTTTTTATAAACCTTTTTAGACTTAAATCCTCAACCATTGTCCTATCACCTTTATTTAACTAGTTTTGAAAGGTTTACAAAAAAATCCAAAAGGATACGAACTAAAGGATTTGCCAGACGCTTGGGTTAAACGAAGGGTTGACAATTCCGACTAGTGTTTAAGCTATTTTCCGATTCGGATTCGGATTCCAGTTGTAAAATTGTAATATCCCTTCAGAACTTCAATATGTAAACGAATAAATCACAAATTTGTCGAAACCGGCAAGTAATAAATTTTAGTTCAAATTAAGTAAAAGGAAAAAAAATTGTTTTTTTATAGTTGAATGGGTTGTAGTTTTAATTAAAATTTTAAAATTGAATGATGTAGGTCCAGAAGTATGATTCAATTAATAATCAGAGGGGACCACTGTTATTCAATTGTGTAGCAATGCATATGGTTCATTTCCCATAAGTTTAAATTTAGAAGTGCATTAAAACCATTTGGTACGACTACTGTATCGTACAAATGCAATACAAACATTCTTGTTTATTCAACCATTGCAAATTTATAAATTTGTTTAATACTTTATAATGTGTATGCTTCTATACCAAACAAAATTCGAAAAGGGATAACACGGTAAGTTTCATCTTGAATTTGAGTTTACTTTAATTAAAACGGACTTGTAAGATTATTAAATAAATTGATCGATGGCAACTTCATGATATGTTCGGACAATTTGTATGTTATTAAAGGCGTATTTCTGAAGTAATAATATTACTTTATCTTCAGTTCTATGTTTAAAATAAAAACAGCGATTATATGTCGTTCCAATGAAAACTATATGGTACAGTTGTCCGATCTCGAAATGTAACCCATTAACAATTGTAGAATTTTGGAAAAGTTTAGTTTTAACACCCTTAAATCTCAAAGAGTTGTTGGTCAGAAACGGATCTTGGCGATCCTGGTCAAGTATATCTCAAAGATCTCCATTATAACACCTATTTCATAGCTATTAACTATGCGCTGTCATATCGGTTATTGATTATGCCAAGCCAAAACATTTGGTTGAGATGGGTTTTTAGGGAAAAATATTACGAATCAATCGACCCGAATATAATTTTACACAAAAGAAAAGTCCTTACGCAAACTCATTTGGATTTACATATTACATCTATTATTGTTTCTATAGCGCATAAAAAATGCAGTGTAAAGACCTTTGTAAGTGAATCGTTTTGAATTTTAAATGTTTATTAATATGAATTTGATGCTTACGTTTTATGTATGTATCTAGGTCAATTTATCATATCGTGATGTTTCACATTTAGTAATCAAAATGTATTGTCAAGTGTTTGCTTTCACATACGTAGGTGTGTACATCAACGCGCAATATTTAGTTCGTAACCGGGAAAAAGTCTAACAAAACACAAATAATATCGATAAAGATTTAAACAAAAGACGGTCCATGTAATTATAAATTATATAATTAAATAATCACATTGCGTATAAATTTTATGTTAAAATAATGATACTACATATTATTATTCTTTTAAAATATCCATGTTGTGGTGTGTGTGTGTGTGTGTGGGGTTCGAAAGGTATCAGCATATCAATTTACAACATTACCCGAGGCATTTTTTTGGGTTCTGAGATTCATTGAGTGTGTGTTTGTAAGAATTGTAGCTATCTGAACTTGGTAGGTGTTACGGGGCAGGGGCTTTGGGGTGGTGTTTAAAAATATTTCAACAAAATACATTTATATATATGTATGTATATATATATAGTTAGTAGTTATATGAGATTCCTGTCGGTTCTATTTAGCTTCTTCTAATCCTCTTCCCACTCCCCCTTCATATGCTTCATCTTATTTCATCCTGCTTACTCGCACATGTACGGATAGTTGACGTCCCGCAGTGGCACGAATGTCTCCTTGATGGACTGCGGAGAAGTCCAGCGCAGAATGTAATGTGGTCCGCCAGCCTTGTCATTGGTGCCAGACATTCGACCGCCGCCGAATGGCTGTTGACCCACCACGGATCCAGTAGACTTATCATTGATATAGAAGTTTCCAGCGGCCATTTTAAACTCCTGCAGGGCGCACTTGACGAATTCCCTGAAAACAAATGTTATAGAATAAAGGTAACCCCTAAAAGAGGATTATTCTTACTCGTCCTGGCCGAATACTGCTCCGGTTAAAGCAAACTTTGTTGAGGTGTGCACCAGTTTCATGGTCTCAAGCAGATCGGACTCCTTGTAGACATAGATCGAGAGCACGGGACCGAAAATCTCTTCTGTCATGATGCGGTCCTTCGGGTCCTTGCTGAGAACAATGGTCGGATTGACGTAGTACCCTTTGCTGTCCGAGTACGTGCCGCCGGCGAGAATCTCCAGGTTAGAGGACTTCTTGGCATGCTCAATGTAGCCAGTAATGCGTTTAAATGCTTTGTCATCAATCACAGCCGACGAGAAGCTGCTGAAGTCTTGCACGTCCCCGATCTTCAGCTTCGACGCCTCGCACAGCAGACCTTCCTTGATCTGCGGGTGAGGGGTTAAAGCAGATCAGCATGGCGAAAACATCGTAATCTGATGCCTCTGGAACTTACTTGTGGCCACAGAGACTCCGGCACATACATGCGCGAGCAGGCGGAACATTTCTGACCGCAATACTCGAATGCCGAACGAATCGTGGATGTCACCACGGACTCAACATCGGCTGATGCATGCACAAAGTGGAAGTTCTTGCCGCCACACTCACCAGTCAAGCGGGGAAAGTTAACGTACGTGTCAATATTGTTGCCCACCTGCTTCCACAGGCGATTGAAGGTTCTGTCGCCGGAAGGGATGGGATGGGATGGGTTTGAACAGGAAAATCAATACTCCGGCAATTACTTACGGTACAGAGCCGGTGAAATTGATGCCCGCTAGATGGGGACTGGCGGTAATCGTGTCACCGAACACGGGCCCATCGGCAGGCACAAAATTAACGACACCATCAGGCACTCCCGCTTCGCGCATAATTTTGAAAATAAGCCAGTTGGATAGCATGGCCGTGTCCGAGGGCTTCCACAGCACACCATTTCCCTGCGAAAAATGAAAGGTTAATTTATTGGGAAATTTCAGCGATAGGTAATAAGGGCTAGCCTACCATCAGAGCTGGCGTGTAGGACAAGTTGCCGCCAATGGCCGTAAAGTTAAAGGGGCTGACAGCGGCGATGAAACCATCAATGCCACGATAACGCAAAGAGTTCTTTGTAACTTTGATGTTCTCGCTGATGGGCTGATATTTAGTGACCTCCTTCAGGAAATACGCATTCATCCTGTGAGGTGGATTTGGATTTCAATTTCAGAAAGAATACTTCATATAACACAAAAAGGACCAAAAAGGATTTTAAAACAAGAAAGAATGTTCTGACTATGAGACACCACACACTTCTTTGTTTTAACATATAGATTACCAACTATTTGTTTGAAATCTAAATCTAAATCTTTTATAAATTAAAGAAAGTAATCAGATATGTACTCACCGTATAAAGTCAATTAGCTCCGCTGCCGAATCGATTTCCGCTTGGATAGCCGTTTTGGACTGACCCAACATGGTGGCCGCATTCAGTTCCTGGCGGTATGTCGTCGCCATTAGATCAGCCGCCTTCTCCCAGATCTTCAAGCGGTCCGCAATCGGCACGCGGTCCCACTTGGGCTGCGTGCTCACGGCTGTTTTGATGGCCTTCTCAATGAGCTTCTTATCGGCATAGTAGAAGCTGGTCAGTTTATGTTGGTGATCATGGGGCATGACCTGGTACCGCACCTCCGACGTTTTGTATTCCTTGCCGCCGATCACAATCGGAATGTCCTCGCAGCTGGAGGCCGTGCTCTTCAGGGCCTGCTCAAGGGCTTTGCGCTCCTTGGAGTCTTTGCGATACCCCAGAATCGGTTCATTTACGACCGGAAAATCCTTGAGGTTAAGGTCCGGTATAACTGAGCCAAGACTTCGAGTGTAACTGAGGTGAAAAAATGTAATACGATAATCAAAACGTTTAATTGTACTATTATTGAATGTTGGTAATCAAAATTATTTAAGAAAAAACAAAAAAAATTATACGAATTTAGAAAAATTTTTAAAGTATTTGGATCTTAAGTTAGCTTTGATAGATTTCTTTCTGTCTAGAACTTGTCAGACTATCATTAGAAGTCTATCAACTTAAACTTACCTTTTAAGCACCGTCTGCTGCAGACTGGAGCATCTGGAGGAGGAACTTCGCAGCATTCGCAACATCTTTTCGGATTTAGGGGCCTGCCTCCTTCGTTGCCGGATTATATAAGCTGTCTGTCTGGATCTTCGGCGTCGGCTCGCACCACCTAGAGTTTCGCTATCTGAGCGATAAGGCAGCGAGACGAACAAACTTTTGATTAGTATTCATTTATCAGCAACCTTGACAATTCATTGGGGGTCCGCGTCGAGTCGCGTGATTTTGATAAGCAGCCAAACGTGAAGCACGACACACCCCCCCAGATAAGGCTACACCGCATCGGAAAATCTACATATGCATGTACATATGTACGTACTGTCGAGTAATTCTAGAATGTAGACCAACTTGAGCAGATTGTCAATTGATGACTGGTTTCGCTTAGTTTATTTTTTTATCGATATCTAAAGTTCCCTCGCTCACCTCACTCACACTCGCACACTTAAGAGCGCTTTTATATACAAACAGAAAGCAAATAAGCAAAATTTGACGAGCATCAGCTGTTCTGTCTACGATGCGCACAGTGGGGTAGGTGGATTTTATATGATTTTTGTATTCATACTGAGTTTAAGTAATTTTACAATAAGTGATTTTTTTTTTGTATCTAATTGATTTTAATGGTGCTATACATCTTTACATTTTTTTTTAAGAAAAATTTTTTTTTTCATTTAATTGTTTTTATACGCATTTTATTCTCCGTTAGGAGAACACTATTGTTTTTTTTTTAAAGAATATACATAAAAATTTGATCGCATTGTGTGCTGCCTACACAAATATATTAATATTCTTTCCTTAATTTCCAAATTAAATAGAATGTTTGGAATATTATTCGGTTCGGTTAAGTTTGAAATGTGAAAATTCGACGGTTTTGCGGTCTAAATATGGCGGGCTTTAATGGCCAGTCTATCATGTAATTTCGATTGTGTGCTGTTTGTCTTTTTCCACTGTGCGGTGGCTACGGAAATTTCCCATTGCCGAAACCAGAAAGATATGTACATACAATAGGGGCTGAAGGGGGCTCGAGCAAAAGTAGTTCTTGTTGTTTTTTAACTGACGCTGCCTTGATTTATGAAATTAAGCGGCATGTACAGTGGGGAAGGGGTCGCGCAAAGCGGAACAAAAAAAAAAAAAACACCCCACGGTGCGCGTGAGCAGCCCCCGTGGGAGGAAAAGAGATGGGAAAGTGTGAGGGAGAAAGGTGGCGAAAATGTGGAGCAAGTTCTTTTTAACGTAAGCATACTTTTGCTGTTTTGTCTTCCTCTTTCTATTCACTGCGCGTCAAGTGCTTAATAATCTACTATGAAATTTAACAGACATTGATTTTTATCCACTAACAAACAGGCTGCAAGTGCAAAACACAAGTTGAGGCCAAGTTAAAAACAAATAAATTTACTGCTCAGCTGTAGATACACACACACACACAGGCGCATTAGAATGCAGCCAGTTGGCTTTGTTTTTGTCATCGTTGTTGTTGTTCATGCTGGCCCCAATTACGCAATGAAATGTTTTTATGCCGCCTTTTGGCCTTTTTCTATTACTGGTTATTTTTTTCATTTTACACCTTTATTTCCCTGTTCGGCGATATTGGCACTGATTTTTGGCTTACTTTATGTTTGTTTCGGTCGACGGCGGCGGAATTTGGCGAACGTCAATGCCTTTGTTTTGTGTTTTTTGCGAGACTATTTGGTCGAAATGAAAGTGCTACGAATTTGGATGGTTGGCTAACGGCCGGGAGCTATCGACACCCCGATATGTTCACAGTCCTGATGCCGCGCACTTTTCAACACTAGACACAGCTATCGATTGCCCGCGAACAATGTGCAGGGTTCAAAATTAAAGCACCATTACAATTTTTTCGCATTTCTTCAATGACTTTATAATTTATAACTTTCTAAATGTGATAGACAAGGTTAGACTTCGCAGTCTGTTAAATGTCAAATTATTTTAACAAGATTATTTATACAAAAAAAAATTAACATTATTTCGACCAAATATACAAATCAACTAAATATATGTCAAAATATCACAATCAAGGTATCAGGTCAAATATCAAAACTATTTTAAAATACGTATGTTGCTTTTATACCCTTGCTGAGGGTGTTATAAAATTTCCGACCCTATAAAGTGTGTATGTTCTTGATGCTGACTCAACGGGTTGATATATAGATTCTTGAATCTTTCAGACTTGTATTTGTTAATGTGGATACTGATCAAGTTAAACAAAAAAGGAAGCAAAAACTAAATATTCTTGAAAACATTAAAATTATGATTTACTTGCCTATGTTTAAAAACATTGAAGCTATAATGATTTGCAACATAATTATTCTATAGTTCCTATGGCAGCTATACGATTGTTCCTATGGGATCTATATGCTATAGTCGTCCGATTTTGATGAAATTTAAACCGTAATTCTGAAATATTTAACCATTACTAAATCTCGAAAAACTAAAAAAAAAATTAAAAAACACCAAAGTTATAATTTTTTTTATTAATTTTTCCGATTGTTCCTATGGGAGCTATATGCTAAAGTCGTCCGATCCGGCTCGATCCGACTTATATACTACCTGCAATAGAAAGACAACTTTTGGGAAAGTTTCATGCAGATAGCTTTAAAACTGAGAGACTAGTTTGCGTAGAAACGGACGGACAGACGGACGGACAGACGGACAGACGGACAGACGGACATGGCTAGATCGACTCTCCTATATGCTCCTATGCTGATCAAGAATATATATACTTTATAGGGTCGAAGATGTCTCCTTCACTGCGTTGCAAACTTCTGACTGAAATTATAATACCCTCTGCAAGGGTATAAAAATCTTGCCGATTGTTCGACTACATCCTATAGCTGCCATAGGAACGATCGGATAAGACTTGATAAATTTGGTGGTTTTTTTTAAGAACCATACGTTTTTTTCGCGTTATATAATGGTTTTATTTAGTTAGGATCCATCCCTAGACTGTAAGGGTATTAAAACTTCGTCTTGCCGAATTTATCTACCGTTATTGTTTTATCTAATATACGAACAAAAGGATACGGCCAATGTAAAACTAAATGTTATACATTTTTTAAATGTAATTGCCATTGTATGAAACAATAAATTATAAGTTATGTTTTGTTTACCGATTTTGGCTCAGCCAATGATTTATAAATATACAATTAATTTACTAATCAAATTTTTCGTAGAACTGAAGCGCCTTTACTTTTGTAAGCCAAAGTGTTAAACAACGATAACTGTTTGATTACATATTACATAACTATTATATTTCTTTGCGTCAGCACACTAACATAGTAGGAAGTCTTAATCAATATGTACAGTTAAACTAGCTTATCATTTATCTTTCAGCCGTAATATCCGTTTCCGCCCGCACTGGCTGTTGCGAATCCCCCACTGCTGCTGGCGTAGGCCACGTCTAGAGAAGAAAACAGGTCCAGAACACTTGTAGATTACTTGGTTGCAAGGGACTAAGAGACACGGAGACGGATTACTCACTCATGCCGTTGCCGCCGTAAGGATATCCTCCGTAGGGGTACCCGTATTGGCCGTATCCACCGCCTCCGCCAAACATCGAATACGGGTTGTAGTTGGGGTACGAGTAGTAGGGATATCCCCCGTAGCCGTAGGGGTATCCGTACATGCCGCTGCCGTAAGTGTTGCCGTACGCCGATCCCGCCCCCGCACTTGCCCCTCCGTAGAAGGGATACCCGTAGTACTGGCACTCGGAGAGCTGCAATAGCACCGCGACCAGGAACATTCCCAACCAGAGGCCTCTGCTAGTCTTTTGCGCTGACATGTTTTTTTGCTGGCCGTGTTTGTCGTGTGTAATCCTCGAACGTTGACTGACTGCGAAAACTCCGGCATTAACTGTTTTTATAGAGTTGGCCGCCGAATGTTTGCAAATTTTTATTAAAGCATAAAACGCTTTTTTAATGAAGCTTAATCGGCCGCCCATCGTTTGCTCGTTCGGGCATGACCCAAGCGGCGTATACGTAATATTTTGAAATCTGCCCATAACAGCATTTCAAACGTATATACATAGTAAGCATAAAAAAAATGAAAACAAGCATAACAAAACTATTTAGACCCTTATTGGCCTATCGCCTCGATTACTCATCCCACTTGTTCCGACTGCCGTTTTGCTATCAATTTAAATTAGTTAACCGCTTTTTTGACAGGGGCTTGCAATTATTTTGCGTAAACACAGTCATTAACCTTAAAATTGGTTGATGGTCCGCTTAGTAATGTGGGTGGAAGGTGGTTTCCAGTTCTTTGAGGTTCATTGCCGGCTCGGAACGTGGTCAATGCTCATCAACGCCCTTCGGATGAGGTCAACCATAACAATTCTGATACAATTATACCCATATTGGTTTTCGGATTTTCCATTGCGATTAGCTTGACAGTAGTGGCCGAGAGTTCATTGTGAGGGACATTTTTGATTCAGACTTTTACCCTTGGTCATGGATCGATGATGAACTATTTAAAATAACGAATTTCCATATATGTATGCTTGGATCGTCCGATCAAAACTATTTATTTATTATTTTGTATATAAAAGGTACTCTTATTTGGTTCACAAGAAAGGGCGGTGAAAGTAAAATGCTTAATTGTTTTAATTGTAGCTTATGGCTTACTAAAATACTAACCTTTTTAGCATTTTTCCAGCAAATGACACCTCAATTGCTGGAATGCGATGCTACGTTTAAAAGTTATTCTAAAAAACTTTTAGAACGTTCCTATTCAGAACGCTAAGATAAAAATCAAAAGAAGCAAAACTGTTTTAATGCAGCAGTCATATGTTTTAACGTAACATATGTATGAACCATTTTTGTTTAACCAACAAGTAAGTACCGACTTTCTCATACACAGTAGTATGACAATTTGTATACCCTTGCATATATTTATTTCTAGAACTAATGTTTAAAATAAAATAAAATATTTTTCATGTCCTACGACGAATTGTGGACAACTTTATCAAATTTTGTTCCCTGTACTAGTATGAAAAGCATACAAAATTTCATTCATAAATATTTAAACCCTTTCCCTCTGTTCTGTGCAGTACTCATTCATGTAGGTGTGTGCAATTACACTGGCCAACAAGAGCAAATGTCACAATTGGTATCGTCCAGCCTTTGGGTTCTCATGCAGCTGACGTTTGTTTTCCGCCCGCTCGCACTTTCACCCACTCTCCTACCCCCTTTTCGGGCTCTCTCTTTGTTTGTCGCATTACTTTAGGTTGTCCAGGTGTGTTTTTGTGCCGCGTAGGTGTTGCGTTCTTTGTGCTCTCTAGTTGAGTGAGTTTTTTCGTTCTGAGCTTCGACTGCGCATGCTCAAGCCTGGATGTGCACTGATTTCGGGACACCCTGTTTTCGGTTGGCTTGAGTGATTTGAGTATGAGTGATTTCGGCCTTGCAGGTTGTCTTCGAATTATACCGCTATATATTTTGCCCTTCATTTTTTCTTTAAGTAAATATGTATTTTCACTTTCAACAAACAAATTATATTTTCATTAAATATTCTTTGGATTTTCATTTGTTCTCCAATTCATGTCTTTTTCCTCCTATTGCTGAAAATTTTAAAATAAGTTTGGAAAACATACTTAAAACATAAACAAAAGCGGCCACGCTTTTAACATACTTTAGGGGGCAGGATGGTTTCAGAGGCTAAAAAAAGGAGAATTTTGCACGGTAAATGCCTATATTCGAAGAGTATAAAGATTTTGTTGTTTTGTGCGTAAAGCCTGGACTTACAAAGATATTAAAAAATAATTAAATTGATTTATTGAATATAACAGTTTATTGTGCGGATAAACGAAACTAAATTGAAAAACATGCGATTTTGAAATTTTTGAAGTGGTTTTAAAGTCAAAAATACCATTTTTACATTAAAAATAAGCCTATTATTGTATGTTAAAATATTAAGAAAAAAAATTTTAAAAATAAAAAACTTATGTTTATCCGCAAGTATTTGTGCAAAATTTCATTTAGATCGGACCATTTCTTTTTGAGTTACATTACGAACCGACTTGAAAAACGTAGTTTTGAGAGCACGTTTACGGGATAATCGGTATCTCAGCGAGTTTTGGTCCGAGCGAGAATAATTTTTCAAAGAATAGTCCTGAGACGTTGTACTTTTATTTAAAAAATTATTAAAAAAAATTTTTTTTAATTCGCAAACCATCCAGCCCCTTTAACAAGACAGCATTAATATATCAATAAATACAAGAGGTAAAAAAAACTTAATATGATATTTCCAATTTTTGTCAAAATGATGAATTTGATAATATCCCCCAAAACTACTTGTATTAATATAAAATCGGGATTCTTTAATGCCAAAGTTTTACTAGAACTGACACTAGCTGCAAATTCATTTGATGACCAATGTTGTTTTGTTGATGTATTGCCACTCGCACTGGAAATGTTCGTACTGAATTGTGTATTAATTAATCCTTACTAAAAAGTATTGATCAGGCGTAAGTGCAAACAATTTCATCGCGCTATGTTAATGTTCCCTAAAGTATGCTACGGTATTATGTTAACTTGGTGCAACTGAACTAGAAAGGAAAAGGTAAATTCAAAAAAGTATTTTAAAAAGTGAACCCATATAAACATTGAAAAATATTATTTAATGAAAAAACTCCATAAAAGTTGATCACATTCTTGGCTTGAATCAATCGGAAAGGGTACATTTACCAGCCCTAATCCAATCACTTAATTTTCTCGACCCCAAACGAGCAATTTTCATATTAAAAAGTTTGTCTATACCAATACTTACCCCCATCCATTCTTCCGTTCAAAAAAAGTGAAAGCTATCCTTCAAAAAAACTTCTGCTAACTTTTCTTTCATTTAGCCTCATACTTTTGCATTATTTTGGGACACTGAAATGCTAATTGTTTGTCCAAAACGAACGAACCTCCTTGTGGGCATCAATTTTTCAGCATTCTTACGTGTAATTAATTAAAAATTTGATGCAGCAGCAACTTTTGTTTGCCGTCGAAATTACAGCAGCAACAAAAAGCTAATTAAAACTTAAATTTATGGAGCAGAGCAACTGGAGCCGTGACCCACAGGAGATCGCCCACTCGCAGCTCACTCATCGTCAACCGAGTTTCACTCAACTCGCCGAAATGCAACTGAAATGTTACGCATACGCCGCGTGGGACCGAGCGAGATGCGAGCACTCAGGCCATCCTGCTGTGAGTGCAAGCCCGGGGGGAAAATAAAGAAAAAAATCAATTAAAATGCACTCGGGTGCACCGCGCTTCTCTACTCAATTTTTGGGTTTTAGCAAATTTGTAAGACATTTTTGAACGAAAATAAGCGAAGCAGGGCATGCCTTCTCGCTTCCTCTCACCTTTTCTCTCTCTCTCTCTCCGTCCCTTGCCGTGTGTATGTGCGTGTGTGTGTGCGAAAGGCGGGGGGATATTTCAATTCAGTTATTTGTGCAATTTCGCTCAGTCAAGTTGTGTGTTTCTTGTGCAGTGTGTCCGCTTTTGGCATCTATCAATCAGCCGACCGCATTCGACGAAAGGAAATAACTAGAAATTACCGAAAAATTACCAAAAGTTTCCCTGCTTTCTCCCGATTTGCGACCGATTACTACGGATCAAGTGCATCGTTCAAAACGCCGCCAACAGCATACGATATCTCGGCAGAGGAAAAGAGATAGGGATACAAAGAGTGTGAGTGAGACGCAGAAAGTGCGAAATAACAGTTTCGACAGCTAATAACAGTCGCTCTGTGCGTGTTTTGCATTTGTGTAGGTGACTGTACTTTTTGGCGCCCAAAAACATTTTCACGCGACAACAAACACGAAACAAACAAACAAACGGCAAACTAATTAACAACATTTTATCAAAGCGAAATTTAATGTAAACTCTGCTTAACTATATTGAAAGGTGAGTGAGCTTCTGCGCAACTACTCAAAAATGATTGATTTGTAAAGCCCTATTTGAAAATGTCAGTTTTATGGCGGTTTTTTGCTGATATGGACATGTCATATATAGTGTTTTAATGAGCGCAAGTACTAAGTAAAGCATATTGATTTGGTGCTGATTATAACAAATATTCGTTTGGTGGGAAAATTTATTTGTTAGTAAACTTTTGATATTACATTTAAATATAAAATAACAATTCGTATTATTTATTATAATCATTATTAATTGAATTCCATTAAAAATTAAATTACATTTTTTTTTCAACAAACTACGATAACCAACAAGAAAGGAAGCAAACTTCTGGAAACCGAAGTTTATATACCCTAGCAGCTATTCCAAAAATTATATATTTTTTAAAACAACAATATTTTAATAGATTAGAAACGTTATTGTAAAAAAAAATACACCATTAATTTGTTTCGAAGTATTTTCAAATTGATTGAAAAACAGCGAAGTTATAATATTTTCATATATTTTCCCGATTGCTCCCATGGAAGCTGAAGATATAGTCGTGCGATCCCGCTCGTTTTTCCTAGTACTAATAGCTTTACTAACTAAATCACGACATTCTAAATTTGAGATTGAACGTTCTCAACCCAAGTAGTCAAAAGTGCTAAGAAGGATGTACGAACGATATTGGTAGAGTACGAAAAATTCTTTATGCAACTATGTAAGCTTTTTAAATTAACTTTTGCAAATGAACAACTAAAGTACACAGAGGGAAAAAACAAAGAGCATTGTTCTTAATCTTAGAACATTTTTTGTAAGCATATATATAAAACAGTACTTTTTTGTCTTTTTCTCTTTTTTTAACCGGTTGCTCCACACTGGCAGCATGTTTTAGTTTGTACTAAGCTCGTGTAAGAATTCGAAGGAGTATGTTTGCAATAA